TTAAAAAAAAACTGCTTAAATATAGTTATTTGATGAATGTGTTACCGAGAGGCACTTAACTTAACTTGACCTAACCGCGCAACCGAATTTAATATTTCTGTAGCAATTTATTTATTGTGAACTCCCAGCTAAAACTGAGATTTTCTAGGCATTTTCATTGAGAGTTATCTTACCGTCATATCACCCTTGAACGATTTTCAATGTCTTAATGGCAAATAAAGAATGTGATTAGATATTTCCCATAAAGGTTAGCTGCTGATAAACATGCGGTTCGAGTCCACCGCATATGTATCGCTTTGATTTCGATTTTACCCACATTTATTGTTTTTTTTTTCATTCCTTCAGAAAAAACGGTCGTCGCATCGCTCAAGTATTGTCTTGGTCAAGGCCGAGCACGCCACCACGGTAAAAAAAATCTCCTCGGAGGCGCTTATGAGTTATGCTCACTGACTATTTATTATAACGGTGCTCCCGCCGAGTCCCGTTTCAGATAATACATTACTATTATTACTATAGTGTACTCATATTTAATACTTTATGCTTATGCCGCGTACTTAACCGGTAACACGTTTCCTAGTTATACGGCAGCAACACCGCACAACACTTTGGCAAACACACATTATCTGACCTATGCCACGGGGTCGATGGCATGGTCATATACAGCATCATAAACGTCATTACAGGTTATTCTTTATAACGTTTAAAATTAAAGAAAAACATCGTGTAGAAAATAATGTGCTTGAAATTGTATTTTTAGTATTAGGGCGGAGGCGATTTGGGTTGGTCTTCTGTCTATAATAATTTGTTTTGTAACCCATACATCGTAATTAACAATAATATCACAAAAGTATGTTTCTGATACCTAGATTATTGATTCATTCGCTTGTACTAACTAGCAACCTGGGAATTTAATACGTCTAAAGTATAATTTTTCGATCATCAAAACACATCAATGAAAAATTCGAGATATGCATTTTTTTTTTATTTCAAAACTAATTTGCTTAAAGAAGTGACTCAACAAATGATTTTTTCAAAGAAATACAAAAGAAATGTCAATTTGATGTTACTAGATAATATTATAACATTAATAGACAACAGTTGTATATTATCATTAATACTATTGTAACGGTCACATTTTTTAACAGACACGTTACACTATTCCCGTAGCATATTGCAGAACCGGCAAAATATGTAGATACTTAAAACAGTAAATACATTGCGTCATAAACTTGATAAGCTATTAGTTACTCGCAGAAACAATTAACCCGGACAGTAAAATGTAATGAAAGTAATACTAAAAAAATATCGCGACAACAGTTTCCTCATAAATAGTTTATACTAATATTTGTATAACAATTTTACTATAATTTTTGTGCTATTATTAGTTTTGGTCGTTTTTGGACTAATCAAGGTATTTGCTATTATATACAAAGTTTCCAAATGAGATAAATGATAAAAACTAAAATTATCTACTTCTGTTACCAACATTAATGCCCAACTAACCACTAATGTATTTTCATTTCATTTTTTTTTTTACTTAACACTTGGGAGTTAAGTTCTAATTTTCTAGCTCCTTTTAATTGATTCTTTGTGAATTTTTAACAGTTTATAATGCTAATGAATTATACTCGCAGTTCTATAACTTTACTCAAAACTAATTAAATTTTGTAATCACAATCGCTGTATTATAATATACTACTCGTGTTTGAAATGACATTTCACTTAGGACCAAACAAGTCAATTTCAATGGAATATTGCATATATATATTATTCAGTCAAATGCTAAAATCGTAGAACTGTGACGCCAATATACATCCATCGAACACTCTATAATACGACTGACAAGTCTGTGAAATGATAATAATTGGACGGTTTGAATTTCAACGGTAATGGTTCGCACAATATGTATAGTATTACACATAGTATTACTAGGAAAATGTTATTTGTAAAATATGACATTTATAATTATACATATATAAATATATACTAGCGTTAGAAGATTTTTGTATCGAAACTAGAGTAACTCGAGCTTGGACGTTTTATTTAAAATTAATGAATGAAATAAAATACACGGTACAAACAATAATGTGTATAATGCATCTTCTGGCCGAATAGCCGAGTGGGCTAAACGTCTGGCGCTTACCACCCTTCCCGGATAACGAATTCGACAAGAAATCTCAAATCTCAGAAATTCTCAAGATCTCGTTAGGCGTATCAAAGTCTGTTAACCTACCTACCCGATGATCAATGTATTTACTGGTGTTACTTGGCTTTCCACATTTTTCCACAAAGACATATGCTACTCTCGCCAGTGCAGTAGTACGATTGCCGTTGTCAGTAAACGTGATCAGAAATAATATTGATAGTCTGCTCTATTTAGTGTAAACGAATATTGAGTATTTCAGTGTTTTTCCGTGCCTTTAATTTACAAACCAATAGTATCCTAACCCCTCATCTCCGAGTCACCACCCGTTTTAGTGTACACAAATACAACAATCGGATATTATAAGAGCGGACGTACGCTTGGCTACGGTAGCAGTTGGTCGGTTGCTTAAGGTTTCCTAACAAATACCTGTTTTACGTGCAACCCACATCCACACAAACACCGGCAGTGCACGCTAATAGGTACGACTAGCATATGGGTCTTATTAACCTAACCGGAAAGGCTTAAAAAAAAATCCTTTCTTGTACCTATCAAAAGAACAGCTCCTACAATAACAATATAACGGCGGGCGTTTTTGAAATCTAAATATTGTATAATTTATGTGCGAACCGATTTTCTATTGAGATCCCAATGCCAAAACGGCGACAATACTAAGCTATTACAATGATCATTTTTTTCATCGGGACCACACGAGTAAATCGATTAGTTTTAGAACCCAAATATTATACACAGGTGCCCCACACTAGGTTTACGGCGAATGCCTCCTATGCGTTAGATCTTATAAATTATCTGCTTGTTCGACAAAAGAATATTGAATAATATTCGCTATTGAAAAATAAGAGTTCAACATTTTCTGTAAGACATTTATTAAATTAAAATTAACGAAAAAATAAATGATTTATAAACTGGAAAAAAAGTAAATCAAAACTCGTTCCCATCTAAAAAATCACAACGCAATTTATCATTTTGATTCCTTATGTGCGGTATTCAAGCGCTTATATAGTTACTGTAAATGTGCTTAATCGGGGCCCGGATGGTTAGCAAAACAATCATACACGTGTAGTCAAGCATAGTAATTCTTGAAGTGCAAACACCATTGACCTGTATTATTTATTCACAAGCTTTTTGCATTACTAAAACGTCACTTGATATTTGGTAGTTGCTACTATAAATTAAGGTTATTGTTAATGTGCAATATTAATGTATGATTAATTATTTAACTATTCGTCGATCGAGGAATATTCAAATATGAGCTGTTAGGCACTCTGTAATTTTTGAACTGTCGAGTTTTCTGCATTTTCGTGAAAGATTCCTATACAAGCCTTGATACCGGTTGATTTGTAACTCTTTGGTTTTTTTGAACTATTATTACATTGCATTTTTCTTGTTGCAGCTTCACAGCATCAAAAATTGCAATAACGATGTGACAATAGCTGTAGTCTTTAATCGTTTTGCATCATCTCAGCTCTCGTTTGTTACACTATGGTTACACAAGCATAGGTAGTTGCGCAAACAAGCATTTAAAACGAAACTATACAAAAAAAAAACTGATTAATTATCACTGTAATAATTCAAATACTGCTAGATTTTGTTTTTATGACGGAAGTGAATACCATACTAGTTCTGGGTAGTCCTTAGGATTCCTATCCAAGGACGTACAAATTCCCCAATGGTGCCAAATAATTTTCCAGCAGGTTTTCTTAAGCATGACTCCCTTGGACATAGCGAGTGACCTTGTCGTTTCTTGATAATTTATTTTTGAGACGACAAGGTATTTTTAAGGGTATACGATACCTAGAAGCCGCATAAATTTAAATACATGAACGGGATTCCTATTGAATTTTCGTCTGTTCTTATTTTGTCTTCTTCTGCTTGCACTTAGAACTCCTTAAGTAGATACTGTACAAAGGTTTATTATATTTTAATTACAGTAAAATTATTCAGGCAAACCATAAACACAATAACCATTTTTTTCATATTACAAACAGATTCTTTCTGTAGTACCAGGTGTTCCGTTTTCCGTATTTAGAGATATGCAGCTCTCGTGATACCGAAAACATATTATAATTTATTAATTACTCGTGTTATTATGCGACTTCCTTCCGCGTAAGGATCATGTTACGTATGGTTTAGTCTAACTCAGGACACGGAACGATATGTTTAAATTAATTATTATTACTTGCTATATTACTACCTATACACTGTATCTGCTGTTCTGTGACTATGCCATTATAAATCTTATTTAACGATTACATATGTATCTTATCCATTCGAGACAATACGTCATGTGTTATTGTTAATATTTATTAATTATCACTGTCGTGTGTATTCCAATTGCTGTAGACAATAATATTCATTATAACAATGATTTTTTTGAAAATAATGCAACTAGTATAATAACTATTGACTACTGAAGTACTACAATCCGATTGAATGTTTTAAACAATACAAATCTAGCGATGGTGAATTAAGGTTTTTAGAACTCTGGGTCAAACAGTTTAAGAGGTCATTTTATAACATTTTTGTTTAGCCTGTACAGTTACAAGAACATAATATATAGAGATTATGTATACAAATACATTTTAAAAATGTATATAATATAAATTACTGTCGAAAACAGTGACAAAGGGATTAATAATGTATGAAAATCCGAGCATGAATAAAATAAAATTAGATGACACACACAACATGTTAATATAAAAACAAAACAGTAGCTGGACTTTTAGCTAATTTCCCATTAAAGTTGTTCTTATTGGACTGCTTGTTATAAAATTCTAATATACGTTCTATTTCCATGATTAATTTTAATTTAATTTAAGTCACTTGTTATTTTCAGCTTTTATACAATTGTGGCCCCCAAAGTATTGAGACCTAATTCGGAATACCATGCAGCCGTCACCGTACAAGGCACAACGTCGTTGACTTCCGTGGTCGTCGACGTCAGTGGAAAGCCTGACAGTGGAGGCAATTTTAAAGTCACACAGTTCGTCAAAGTCGAACCGTTCACCACCAGGATTGTTAGACTCGAGGTAGATGACAAGCCCATTTGACTTACTTTGTTGATCTTCGACAGTTGAATCGTTTTACTTACATACTTATATTGTTTTCGTCGGTGTTGCTTACAGATCAGTGACGTTGGACCGGGTAATTACAATTTGACAGCCCGCGGCTCTGGCGGCTTGGAATTCGTCAACAGCACCGCGTTGGAATACATACACAAGAGCTACTCTGTGTTCATCCAGACAGATAAAGCCATCTACAAACCGGGTCACAAGGTGCAGTTCCGAGCAATCGTCCTCAATTCTCACTTGAAACCAACAGTAACCGGAGCTTTAGACGTTTTCATTACGGTAAGTGCTTTTGTGAACACATTGGCGTGACTTGGCTAGAACTGAGATACGAGCTACTACCACTGAATCAGTGAATATCCCTGCTCAGCATTTCTTAACCTCTTACCCAAGTTGCACCATCGTTTAATCAACACAACTCAAGGACTGAAAAACTTATTTATCGAACGTTTCGCAGGACGGTAAAGGCAACCGAGTGAAACACTGGAGCAGAGCGCTTACTACCCGTGGAGTATTTTCGTCCGAATTCCAATTGTCCGAAGAGCCAGTGCTGGGTGACTGGAACATAACAGTTACCGTTCTGGATCAAATATTCCACAAGTCATTCACAGTGGCAGAATATGTACTACCCAAATTCGAAGTAACCATCGACGTGCCCGAACACTCGACATTTAAACAGTCCATTGTGTCGGCTACCATTCACGCAAAGTACGTGTAGATTATATTTGTCAATGCTTTTATTGTATTTTATGTGCACACTGTACTTTAATAATAACAAAAAATCATATTTTTAACAACAAATATTGCCTGATCCGTTTAGGTACACTTATGGTAAGGCCGTCAAAGGCGAAGCCACGGTGTCCGTGTACCCAACAATCTTCAGTGAAGTCATTCAGCCCATATACGAAAACCCGCTGCGAAAGGTCGTGCCCATCGATGGCAAGGCGGTCGTGCAGTTCGATGTCGTCAAAGACTTAAAGTAAATTTTCCGACACACGGCTAATGCTAACAGTTTATATGATACGGTGGACTTTTCTTGTTTGCAGCTTAAACGATGAGTATGAGCGAGGAGTTCGGTTTGAGGTTACCGTGGAAGAGGCACTCACTGGCAGATCACAAAACACTTCGGCCAATGTGTTGCTGCACAAGCACAGGTACCGGATGGAGCTGATTAAAGCCTCAGAGTACTTCAAACCCGGTTTGAAATTTACAGCCTACGTGAGTGCATTGTATTTTGGTTTTGCGTGGACCACATTAAAACATGTTTTTTGTTATCTTATACAGATAAGGTTGAGCCACCATGATGGCACCCCGGTGTACGACGATAGGAACCCAATCAAAGTTCGTCACGGACTCTCCTACAACAGTGCCGAGTACGCCGAAGAAAGCTACTACTTGCAGAGAAACGGAATGATTACACTCAACTACTACCCGCCAATTAACGCTACAACTCTTGGCATCGAGGTATAAATTCTTGCCACTATTAATTTTTTTATAACTTTAACAGCTTTAGAGCATCACTCGAAAATTAGATTGCAATCAATATAATGCAACAAATAACACTTTTAAATTAACCGTTATACACAATCATAAAACTAAGCCAGCGTTTGTGATAAATCGTTCCAGGCCGAATACTTGGATCTCAAGGAATGGTTCTCTACCGTGAGTGCATCCAACTCGCCTAGTCTAACGTTCGTGCAAGCCACGGTCTTGACGGAACGACCGACGGTAAGACTCTTCGTTATTTATCCAAAAAGCAATCGATTTTACCGTTTTCTTATGTGCTCACAGGTCAACAAGGATGTGGAAATACTGGTCAACTCGACGGAACCCCTTCACTACGTCAATTACCAGGTACTTGGAAGAGGTGATGTGATCGTCGCCAGCACCGTTCAAGTACCCACAGCAGGTCAACGCACTGTCGTCCTACGGTTCTTGGCCACTTACGCCATGGCTCCTACCGCCCATGTAATTGTGCAGTTTGTAAAAGACAACGGTGAAGTAGTCGCCGACGCCATAGACATTGAACTCGATGGAGTCTTGCAGAACTTTGTAAGTACTTATACGTTGCTATTATATGTTTGTGTGCCATCTAAGCAAGTGCGATAACGATGTAACCGGATTTTAGATCAACGTGGACGTGAGCCGCGATGAAGCCGAACCAGACACTCCCGTGGACATCAACTTTGAAGCTAAGCCCAACTCTTACATCGGTATCACCGGAATAGACCAAAGTGTACTGTTACTGAAATCTGGCAACGATATAACGCATGTGAGTTTGTAACCCGATCGTCGCTCATACATATTTAGATCCTTTTAAAACTGATCCATCGTTTAACAAACATTTAACTCCCGGAAATAATCCGACCCCTCTCTCTTACCCTTTCCAATGTGTGTAATGTACTTGAGTTTCACATTTAAATCATACATTAATGTGCGTCGAGAAAGAATACAATTTTTAAGTGAACCGTGGTCGTTTATGTAGATATTATTTTTTTTTTTTTCAATTCCAGAACAACGTATTGGACGAATTGAGGACGTATGACAACAGCGAAAGCGCTAAATACTTGCCTTACATAAAAAATTGGGACGACAGACGTTCCATGGTGTGGTGGCCCGGTTCGTTTACCGCCCAAGAAGCTTTTGACGTAAGTGGCTGTTGTGCTGGTTAAATGCTTAAAGATGAAAGAATAATATTTTTTTTCAATATCCTAGAAATCCGGAGCAACTATCTTGACCAACGGATACGTCCATGATTACGCACCTTGGAGTAAGTTTTCAATAGTTTATTATTAGTTAATACTAAATCTATTATAATCTATGATATTAAACCGACACCCACCCAATTTTCTCCTGGACATCGTCATAATATCACGGCAAACAGTCCCCCAACAAAGTAGTATTAGGTACCCAATTTGTGATTAGGCGCCAGCACAAAAACCAGCACGCTTTAAAACCTATTATATTCTCACGATAACAGAATAATTGTTTAACAAAAAAAAAAGTTATATTTAAAACAATAATAAAAATAATAAAAATAATATATGCATATATAAATCCAATACTAAACATAGTTTTATCATAGTCTAAAACCACAAAATTGTCGAAATCTACAAAATGCTTAAATAACAATCAAGCAAAATTAATTTCATATCTCGTAGATGTATTATAGTATAATTAATTTACAGACCAATTTTTTTTTTATATAAAATAATAAATTCAAAAAAACTACCATATTTCCCTTAAAGGAAAGACATTAGATCATAAATATGACTTATGGCGTCTATGGCCCACTACCCATCCCGATACCCTTATGCCTCCCCTCTTGAAATGTCTCCCTACTCAAATTCCTCTTCTCTCACACAAAAGTGCTGCGAAAATTTTCTACAGACCTCCGCCATAAGACATATTTATGTAAAAACCTCTAATAAAAAACTTACAATAATACTTAAACTAAAACTACTTACACAAATTTACATTTGTTCAATAATATTTACATAATTTATTTAATTCAAAATAATATTGTAAACTACACTAAAAGTAATGATATTTAATACTGTAACTGTGTTGGATGGGTAGCACAACGACTCAAAGCTTTTGGAAAACAATTTCAGAGTTAGAAAAACAACCCAAATAAATTTTTTTTTGCCAACTTTGTACAATTTAAAAGTTAAACTCTAAACAAAAATTACGTAATGGTTTATTATTGTGATAATTGTTACATATATTTACAAAATTCCTTGAACTTTTTATTTTTGGTTAAACTAAAAAAAATTCTAGTTCAACATTGCCTAAAAGAGCAAAGTAATCATTAACAAAACTGACACGTGCTATATGAGACAAATTAAGTTAAATACTTGTTCCTCTCCATATTTTGAAGTTTTAAATACTTAATAATACCATACTATAGAATGATAACGTACTACTGGCTGCTCAAAAGGTTTGAATTTACTATCGCAAGATGCATCGTGGAAGGCTATTCAGCTTACTAGACTTGTATGAAGTATTCCAACAGAAATAAAGAAACAAAGGAAGTCTAAACGTTGTTTTGGTAGTTCAAATACTGCATCAAAACAGATTTCTTTTCAGTCTTTTATGAGTTATTTATAGTTTTAAATGGATATTAAATATTTATAGGTACTATTCTTAATAAATAACCGACTGTGACCTGATTAGTGCAGTATTTTCATATGAGCTGAAATAGTTTTTATATCATTAGGTAGTGACTTAAACTGCCAAATTTCTACCATCTCATCCTCGATTGTAGGGTTTTTAGATGAATCCATTTGATAAATTATTTTTACACGTCTATGGCCTACAGGCTCTGGCTATAGGTAGAGTGGCAAAAGCTCTTCTTAGTATCTACCGCATGAGTTGAGTTCAAACCTAGTGCCTGCATTCATAAAAGCTAGCGCCCACGATCAATGAATGTACATTATAATAATATATTAAAGTAGAATAACATAACAATAATAATATTATTAACTTGCTGGAATGTAACTTGGGGCCGCGCTTGTGTGCGTGTACAGTTTACTTCAGGTCAAACATGATGGACGACCAAGACCTGTCGGAAGACCAGCAACCGCCTCTGTCCACTATGGGTGCAGTAACGTCGTCGTCCGGCATTAAAGTGCGCAAGAACTTCCCCGAGACTTGGCTGTGGGATTCCATTGAAGCCGGGTAAATAAACGATAATGACACGGTTAACAAGCGGGTCAAGGAGTCTAGCATGCAAAAGGTGAACGGTTAACGCTTTAAACGATTAACGGCTTGTGCACGCCTAACGAATGTCAAAAACAATCACACCTTCGAGCGTTTTTGGGTTACTTCGATTTTCCACACAAATAAACCTTACCCGGTAAACCTATTTCGTGCTCACAACATCATCTCTTGTCCGTTTTATACCCACAAGCTATAGACCAGTTCAAGTTGATCACAGATGCGCTCTTTCTATTTCTATTTTTATTCCCCTAAATCCTCTTCAAGCAACATACATCTACATTGCCTACATCCACTTCTCAATACCACGTAGAAAACTATTTCTGAGCGCGGTAACTCTTGTCCAATACTGATTATAGGGACTACAATCTAGTATATATAGACCCGTTAAACATAGTATGTGCATTACCTCCAATTTTCTATTGCGTCCTTCCTAAGATTCATTTTTGTGTATAGTAAATAATTGAACGAAAACTGCCAAATCGAACCATGTATTTCTAACCTTTAATAGTGGTTTCAGTATTTGATTATTATGAATAAAGAACGCATTCCTTTTTTGTTTAATTCACTTCAGAACTGCTCATCGTAGATAATGACCAAATAGCTGTCGAGCTAACTCAAAACGGACACTCCCCTTATTGTAAACCCAAACTAGGTTAGGTGCTCTCAAACTTGGATTGTCATTAATACCAGGATTCTTTCAAGATCGTATGGAAGCTTTATGATTACCGAGATTCGTTCTCTTCCATGACTGTCCTCCTTGAAACGCCAATTATTACCCCCCCCCCCCCCCCGAGAATTCTATCCTCCGTCAGCGGGTATTAGCATGTCAGCCCGTCGATAGTGCCACCTAGTTAGTGGAACCCAATGCGCGTCTGACCCTATGTTGTTGTTATTGTTTTTATGTTAAACAGGGCTGACCGCCGGCAAGAGTTTACTGGCTCAGCCGCGGCCGACGAACCGGCCGATCCCTCCGCCGGGTCAACCGGTGGTGAAACCCGACATTGGTCCGGCTGTAGTCGTCAGGCCCGGCTTCCGGCCCCCTTTGGCCGGCCCGTATGCGTTTTCTCGCATACCCGCACCCGTCTGGAACAAACCGCGCGTCCACTTAAGGCACCGTCTCCAAGACACCTGGCTATTCACTAATCTATCCACATGGTACGGACACACACCCGAGGACTAAGTCTAAAGTCGAATTTATACTCTTCTTTTATTTACTGTTTTATACGCTTAAAAAAAAAAAACCCCAGAGTTGGCAATCAAAACCCAAGTATATCGGGCCAAGAAATGTCTGCGGTTTTTATCCAGAAATAAGGAATTGTTTTGTTGCCAATTCTGAAAAACGCTTTAAAAAACAAATATTTAGAGTCAAACAACTTGTCACATTGGATGAGCCCAGCCGATAAACCAAATAAAAATTAAAATTCTACTCTCGACGAGTATTTTTCATATACATACCGACTGCAATGTACAGTTTAAGAGACCTAACATATGTCAATAAACTTTAAAATCTGAAATAGTATGCTTTATCCTGTTCCTATGAATGGAGTACTGTTAATCACTATTGAGTCGCACTAGTGAAACTACACTATATAACTTAGTTAAGAATAAAGTAGATAAGCCACAAACAAAAATACTATGCATATGTTTATTAAATAATATCCAGTAAAATAAAAATAACCACAATGATAGATAACCACAATGAGAATGCTGAAATGGCTGTTTGAAGTAATTTGCTTAAAGATTGTGTAAAATATAAGAGATAGATTGGAAGCTACGAGAATAACAGAAAACGCGAGATAAAAATGAGTAAATAGTAAAATAGAACCCAGAAATTAATGAAGAAAGATTAGGAAGCAACGGTAGTCTGGTAAAGTAGGTGATTAGACATAATTTATTGAACATCTAACTTAGATTAGTAGTGGGGTTATCTAGTGACAAATGGAATAATAAAAATATTCTGAATTACTCTTTACAATGTCGATTATCAGGCTGACATAAGATATAATTAATAATATTTGTAACAGTTTACTGTGGTATTTTAATACTGATTTTCCTGCTACTAGCTATTACGATTCTTTAGTAGATTTAGAACTCATTCATGGCTCATTCAAATACCATCGTTAGGTAATTGACAATGAGTTTTTGTTATATTTTCAGTCATAACTATTCAATTTTATTTAACTTAAATTATCACATAACAAAACGATCGATTCGTACTTATACAAAATACAAAATGTATTCTGTCAATACAAAATAACTGTTTAGCCCAACAGCTATATAATAAGCGATACGCTGTGTGCATAGAACAGTATGCATACAATACACAGAGTGACTCGAAAATTTAATTTTGAACTTTTCTCGCATCGAACATGAATTTAAATGGATTTCAATGGAATAATTTAAGTAAAACGCTTTGCTTTTATCAAAATAAGAAACGTATTAAGTGTTGAGAATGACGCGGCATTTATATTGCGTTTTATTGTTATACGCTTTCTGAAAGTATACGTCGCGAAAAACCCATTTGTAGAACTTTTGTTTGAAGCAGTCATTTAGAGAATACAAATTCTTAGGATAGATTTATGATAGTGAGTGCTATTAATGAAATTGCTTAAGTTGTATTGTTTTGGTTTTATGTGCGTATTAGGCACTTAGCTCAAATCCACGGGCCTACGTTGTTTGACTCTTGAATTTGTTTGCGCACGCTTTAAAGTTTTCATTTTTCAAACGGCTTAAAAATGTTTTAAACTGTTAAATATAGTTATCGGGTCACGCTTTTATGGGGATATCCGTTTATACGATTCTTCAACGGTTCGCTTTCTGTATTTATGCTTATGTGCTTTATAAGTTGTTTTGAAAACTTTTTCATTAATGCGGTATTTAATAAGTATACACTATACATTGTTATTAATGTTTATTTATCGATTTCTGCTGTTATTATTTTTTCTGAATTATTCGTTTTCAGTACAACGTTTTGTTGTAAACTAATATTTGTTGAACGATTAAAGTAAAAGCTTGCGTGCAAATTTTTTAAACCGATGAAAAATATTATGATAAGTATAAGTACAGTTAATGCAAAGTGTGTAAAAAGTTCTTGTGAGCAATTATAATTTTTAACTCTCTGTCGTTTCTTACTGAAGGCAAGATGGACGTGCATCCATAAAATCCACTGTACCTGATACCATCACCTCTTGGGTGATTATGGCTTTCTCAGTCGATTCCCTTTATGGTCTTGGTCTTCTCAACGCACCGAAAAAAGTAAGTTGTTTCCATACTTAATTAATACCCATTACTTTTGCGTTTATATAATATGTCTCAGAATAATAATTGCAGTAGACAACTTAAACAGTAGTAATGAGCTACATAAATAATTGGGCGTTAAATTAACCCAGAACAGCAATCTTGACCAATCGTCAATTAAAAAAATGTTAGATTACAAAGAATATTCATTATTAAACGCTTTACCTTGTCTAAAACGGTATTTTTTTCGTTTAATAAGCTACACTTAGAATCTTAAATAACGGATTTAAACCAGAAGTTATTCTAAATAATGAGATTTCTTTTTTAAGAAAATGTCAAATTGTATTAAATATATTCATTGAATTGTAGTGGACTATCATTTACGGACATATTTTATAGTTCTATAACACATTTATGTCATTGTTACCGCTGTAGGATGCGAACTAGCAATACTGTACACTAACTGTTTGACGTTATTGTTCTACAGCTTAGAGTGTTCAGACCGTTCTTCATATCTGTCGACTTGCCGTACTCGGTAAGAAGAGGTGAAGTGGTCGCCATCCCAGTGGTTGTCTTCAATTATCTCAGCAAGGACGTATCAGCCGATGTAACATTGGAAAACGTTGGTCAATTCTATTTTGCCGATTATTCCAACGAAATCAAAGATTCCAGTGAGTACTTATAACTTCAAAATGTCTTATTCTAATCAATTTCAATACTACGAATGATAGATAATAAACGTAATGTTTTTATAGAATTGGAACTATACCAACGCAAAACTTTGAGTATCAAAGCAGGCACGGGTGCTCCGACTTCGTTTTTGATCAAAGCGAAGGACTTGGGATACATTAGTATCAAGCTGACTGCCACAAGCAAACTGGCCGGGGACGCTATCGACAAGAAACTATTGGTCAAGGTAAGTTACTTACTTTTTAAACTTGCGGAATGACTAACGATTGTAAATTTAACCCATCAAATGTCAGACTAACCTTAGTAGGGATTTGTAAGGAAATTATTATCAGACAATGAGATTAACCCAGATTTGGTTTTCAGCCCGAGGGAGAAACTATCTACAAAAACAAAGCGTTCTTTGTAGACCTCAGAAAAGACACAACGTTTGAGAAAAATATTACTTTGGACATTCCCGCTAATATCGTCCCTGAATCGGAGTATATTGAGATCGGAGCTGTTGGTACGTTGTACACAAAAAAACATAAACGGTTCAATTAAAAACTAATATTATTCCATATAAATGTTGACGCACGTTTGTTATATAGGTGATATATTGGGACCTAGCACAATGAACTTGGCGTCTCTCATCAAAATGCCGTTCGGTTGTGGAGAACAAAACATGTTGAACTTCGTGCCCAATATCGTCATCTTGGACTACCTCAAAGTAAGTCTGATAGATCAGATATTGTTCTCACCAAAGTCGCCTTCAAAATTTGGGCAAAAGGAAAGGTTTCCCTTCTCATTTTCCCCAACTACTCTATTTCAAACGAATATCTGTCACCGCCCTGTAATGATCTCTATTGTTTTCAGAGCACCAGACAACTTACTGAAGCAATAGAATCAAAATCCCTCAGGTATATGGAAACCGGATACCAGCAGGAATTAACGTACCGCAGGTCTGACGGTTCATTTAGTGCTTTCGGATCGTCTGACGCCAGTGGCAGCACATGGTAATTGAATACCGCCCTTTTGTCTTTTTTACCGTTAAGTAGTTAACCATCAAACTCGTTACCAGGTTGACTGCATACGTTGTCAAGTCATTCAGACAGGCTATGCCGTACATACCCATCGAAGAGAAGGTCATCATGGACGGGTTACAATGGTTAGCCAACAACCAAGCAGGCAACGGCAGTTTTCCCGAGGTGGGCAAAGTCAGCCACAGCGCCATGCAAGGAGGTGCGGCCAAAGGACTGGCACTAACGGCCTACACACTCATCGCTTTTCTGGAGAATCAACGTGCGACGCCTTTGTTCCGCAATACTATAAACAAGGCAATCGATTACCTGGTTAGGAACTTGCCGGGAATTGAAGACCCATACGCACTGGCAATTACCTCGTACGCTCTTCACTTGGCCCAGCACCCTGATAAAAGCATAGCTTTCAACTTGTTCGAACTCAAAGCTAACACAGTCGGTGAGTCGATTGAGGGAGTTCACAATTAATCAGTTACAGATGTTGTAACGGTAGTTTTTTTTGTGTATAGACGAAAAGAAATGGTGGAGACGCATGGAACGTCCGTCTGATCAAAAGAACCCGTGGGTATCCGAGCCCAATTCGATAGACGTCGAGATGACCGCTTATGGGTTATTAACTTACTTGCAGAGAGGACTAGTCGAAGATGCTCTTCCCATCCTACACTGGTTGATAACGCAACAGAATGACCAAGGAGGATTCGCTTCCAGCCAAGTACTTACTACAAAAAAAAAAAAAAAATCGACAGCAGACCTGGTCAGCAATTTCTTCAATACTGAAATTTTTTTTTTAGGACACTGTCATTACGTTGTACGCGCTTTCTCAGATGGCCGAAAAAATGTCACCCGGATCATTAAAATTGACGGCCACGTTCCATTACATGAAGAACGAACAGACAGAGCTCAAAGTAACCAAAGACAACGCGATGACGTTGCAACAGATAGAGGTGAGTTTGAATCACCACCTTGAAATTCTACGTTTGCTTAACTGTGTGGGGATGCTGATCAAAAGTTGGCCAGCTGGTGTCTAGTGGACTAATGTCGGTAGTTGTAATCGGCGTATATATATGTATATGTGATAGTCGCATTACTCCGATCGCATAGTAGACTGAGTAATGCGGCATTTATCTGTATTTAGCTCTAAGCGTGTGTTGAGACAATTGCGACAGCTAAATCGTCCAGTTTAATAAGCTGGCTTTACAGCTCCTTGTAATTTAAATTAAAAAATTACCTTTCAGTCTCGCTTCAATCTGTTGTTTTCATATCTTAATTATAGCTTCCCAAACGAACCCGCATGGTTAACATAACGGCTACGGGCACAGGTTTCGCTATTGTCAAAGTGTCTTACAAGTACAACGTGAACGTGACCGGAGCTTGGCCTTTGTTCTCATTGGACCCACAAGTTGACAAGAACTCGGACACCAACCACCTGCAGTTGTCTATCTGTTCTGGGTAAGCTATGCCACGCTTTGCTATTGATGTGTCTGAATGCCAAATAAATCCAGTATTTTATCTATTCTGTTTTTTGTTTAGATACCGAGGCGGTAACGACAGCAACATGGCCGTGATGGAAGTAACGCTGCCTTCTGGTTACACTGTTGACAACGACGCTTTGCCAAGTTTGATGTTGTCCAACAACGTGAAGCGCATCGAAACTAAATACGGTGATACCATGGTGATGCTCTACTTCGACAAGGTAAGCCATAAATACAAAGCCATAAATACATTCCTTCTGGTTCTAGAATGTGTTGTTAATTTGTCATTATTTCCCGTTTCAGATGATGGCCAAAGAATACTGTCCGACAATTTCGGCGTTCAGAACCCACAAGGTGGCCAAACAAAAGCCGGTACCTGTCACCGTTTACGATTACTACGATCAATGTGAGTATAACGATCCACTTAGTTTGTCAGTTGGTATGCTGGCTTGAGTGTATTTTTGCATAGAGCTTTGTGCGTTTAAGACCTGCCACCGCAGAGGTAGACATTTAGCTATAACACAAAATTTCAACTTACCACACCTACTCTGACTGATTAGACCAACGATTTGCAAGCTTATTTTGTAAGACGAGTCATTCCTCACAGCCTTTCTGTTGCTGGTTTTGCTCTCGATTTTTACAGTTCTCTTCGTATGTATTTATCGTGTGTTTTATGCTTTTAGCGAGGCGTGCCCGTGTCTTCTATGAACCACGAGTGGCCACTCCGTGTGACATATGCGAGGACTCTGACTGCAGCAAAGTGTGCGACACCGATGCCGGATCTAGATCCAAAGACAACAACTCATCTGCCGGCAGCAACCCAACAGCGTCTTGCGGCCAACTCACCTTGGCCTTCATCACGATTTTACTCATCCGAAACTTTTAATTGTCTTCGCGCTTCTCTTTTTTATTATTATTTAATTAAATTTATATGGCTAAAAACATATAAAACATGTACGTACTGTATTTTACAGATAAGCGCTATCATCGGTATACCAATCAACTAACAAATTTATTATTATCCTATTATTTCATTTTAAATATCACAATATGTAGTTCAACACTGTTTTTCGCCACGTGTGTAATGTATATATCACTAAGATTCATTTAGGCTTATATTTAAATGTTTTATTTTTTAATTTTAAAATTAACTTATTGAATTATTGTTTTTCTGAAAACGAGCAAAAATATTGATTTTATTTAGAGTGTTAAGAAAAAATTACATTTTTAATTATAATTTTTACCACGCTATGATATAACTCATAAATTAATGTATTTGAATAGCTTATTTAATATATATCTACATTTTAATGTAATAAAATACTTATAAAAACAACGTTTGAAACGATATAATTTTAAGTTCTTTTTTTAAATTTATAATTTTATTATGTAGCGTTTTTTTTTATTGATTCTTTTTTTATATTATTCAAAAACAACATCTATCCTCCATATAACATACCAATACGCGCATCTTCAGATTAAATAAAGTAATATGTAGTATTTTTTCATATAACAAAGACTGAAGTACAAAGTTATTGTAAATACCATCAAAAGTTAGCACCATATTTTATTAAATACTCGTGTAGCAAACGCTTACTATATTATTATATAGCACTATAATTTTTGTTGTTTGTAAATATAAATAAACTGAAGTGGTACTTATATTACATGTGTGTGTTTTTATTTTAACTATCGAAACTCGACTTAAGCACAATTTCAGTATACTGTTAATTGACCAAGTAATTTAAAAAATGCAATTTGCAAGGTTATACCGATAAAAAAAACGTATTTGAATAAAAAAAATTGTCTTGAATTCCGTTCGATTGCGAATGGCATTATAGGACGTAAAATATTTATGTTACCAAAGCTATTTGTGTTACTGAAATTCTACATGATTTGTTGGTTTTTTCTTTAAATATCAACTCTCTTTTTGCTAGAAATTGTTCGTCATTTTTATTCTGGTCATTTCCGCTTGTAGTTGCATTAGTTTTATTTTCAAAGTCTAAAATCATAAAAGAAACACGATAACAGTAACTGTACCATGTGATACTTGCGCGTAAACAAATCCGACTGACCCTTATTTGTCCTTTGTAGTCTACCCGGGTTACGGCTACATTGTTGTTGGCCTCTTCCAACTTCTCTTTGGCCTGCGTGGGTGTCATTAACTGGATATTTTCAGCGCCGATGACGCGCTGCAGAGTGAGGTATTTGGAACGGTTCACGACCAGGTCTCTTCTGAGCTTGTTGACCGTCTCCAACAGCTTGATGTTATCCTCTACGACCCTGTGACCGGAATTCACTTTGCGATCACACACGGCCATCCTGTTCCTGAGACTAGCCAAGGAACGTTCTAAAAACTCCCTTTGCCTGAACATTTCCGTGAAAGCACCTTCCTTTGTATTCGCCCCTTCGCCTACTCTGCCGGTATCATACTTGTGGAACATTTTCTGCACCACAAAAACCGTACCGATCGACACCCAGTGTTTTTTTAGCCATTTACTTGTGCACTTACCTTAACGGTTTCTTTCAGCTTTGCTTGGTTGTCCGAATGCTCGTACACGTAATGGATGTCGATTCTCGCATTTCTGAGGAACGCCGTTACCTGCTGGATAGTTATCTTTTTTTTCTTCAACTCCCTACTAGTATGTTTTATCATATCCCTTTGTTCCCTCACGATCAACTCGGTGCGTTTCTTGAGTCGCAATCTGTCTTCTAATTCGCGACCAATCTACATCGATCAGAACCGATTAGGTTTCAACGATGGATCAAATTAAAATACTTAAATTACATTAATATATTTGTGTATGTTTCGTAGCAAAAATATATTTTTATTTTTTAGCCCTTGTAACAAAACAAATTGCTTAAACCCCTAAGCTATTTGTTGACAGCTGTTTGTTTTGATATAATTTTAAACTGTTGCTTAGAATGATTTGATCGTTTTATTTTATGAAATCGCTTTTGTACCAATTGTTTGACTTACGCCTTCAAACGATTTGTTTCTCTCGCCCATTTCGATTTCCAGCGGTTCGATGGTCAATTGCCTTTCTTCTTTGTTGATCTTCAGTATCATCAGTTCATTATCTAACCTGGCCATTTTCAATTTCCCTTCGTACATCGCCTTGTCAATCCTAGTTATTGTTTCTTTTTGGACTTGCAATTGAGCCTGCTGGACCTCTATAAGTTTTTCCTCGGCTTTGTGTTTGTCTTTCGTTATTTCAATATCGTCAATGTACTTGGCGACCAACCGTGAATAGTCTTCTGTTTTTTTAATAGCTCTGTATATATACAGAGCTGTGTTAACGGATGCTTACAGTTAAGTATAGTATAGGCACTCACGCTTTAGCCTTCACTCTATAAACATCCAATTCCTTAGTAAGGCGCGCGTTAACCTTCTTTAACTGTTTCATTTTAGTTATGGACTTCACGTCTCTTTCCAAATTATTCCTGTCGTTATCGTCTTCGATTTCGTCAATTTTCAAGTACACTTCTTGCTTTTCTATATTATGTGCATCTTTAACCTAACAAAATAACTGGTCTGGTTAGACACGTCCTATTGTGTGATGTAAATAAAACTTACAGCTTGGGCAATTTTTTCTTTTTCTGCCAAGTTGCGAGCGAACTGCTCTTGTATCTCTTTCATTCTTACGATTTCTTTTTCTAACAACTGGTTTAGCTCTCTAAAATAGACGGTTTTCATAATATATTATTCGGATATCTGAAATAAGGCATATAATTACACGGTCAACTCGTCGTTCACTTTGAATAGTTTTTCTTCGAGAGCAGCATATTTTTCGTACTCCACTAAAAGCGCTTCGCCATATTTACTGTCCAGCATTTCCAGTACGAGATTATTTGCTTCTCTCACCTTATTAATTTCTGCTTCCACAGTATTTATTTGAGAATCGAACCGATTAGTGTTATTCTGTAAATAAAGGAACATTTACAAAATAGTTTTATACAATAATAATTTATACCTGACGAAAGTAAAAGTAAAACCCGTATTTGATAAAAGGATGAAGTATATAAAAGCATAATTCTTTCGAGCAAAGTTAAAGAAGAAGATCGCATTACTTTTATGCCAGTAAAATAACAACTAACCGTGTAGGCTAATGTCTATTTTAATGATTTAGCTGGTAGGAACCTTGATAATTTGTTCTAGTCTTTTTAAGAGCAAGGGCTATTATAATGAAATTTTTTCACTAAAAAACCGAATAAACCCCTGGGTGAAAGGGCAAGCCGAACATTACTCCGGTGCTATTTTATTCTTACTTCTTTCTCGGTTTCTAATTGTTTTAAACGCTTTGCGTGAGTTTCTTTTATAGACACTATCTGCTTCTCTTTGTGTTTTTCAAGTTCAGAAATGACATAGGTTCTCTGTCTCTTCAGCACATTCACTCTATTTTTGAGATGTTCTATGTAGTCAATGTTTTCTTTTATGTTCAACGACGACAACAGCAATTCTTCAGAGTACGTAAAATCATCACTCATGTGCGCCATCATTCCTCGGGCGTCCGACACGTCCCATATGCAAACGCTACCGTCATCAGATACTGAGAACAACATTGTGTCGTCGATGGACAAACGCAACTAAAACGGAACAACAACTGAAGACAAATTCAAGGTAGATCGGTACAATCAAACCTTTGTCACTGCTCTGTTATGCGCGCTAAACTCTTTAACCTTAACTACATTCGTGATGGGCAACATCAACGACAATATTACTCCGCTTGGTGTAGCGTAGAAAATCATGGCATCTGAACGGGACAACGCGATTGCCCCCGAAGGCAGATGGTCAGGTAGTGCTTTGTTTCGTATCACCTATCCAAAATCAAATTACTGCCAGTTGACTCACGTTAACGACAAAGATACTGTTCTTCGTGCGCTCACCGTATTGTTATAGATCTCCCTGATCCTACCGTCGTCGGAGGTCGGAAATATCTGTTTACTGTCTTTAGACACGGTCAATTCTTTGAATTCTTGAGTCTGCAGGATGTTGAGGACCATTTCATTCGTGAACAAATTGAAATGGTAAATCGCTCCGTCCCGACCACAAGTGTATAGCTTCCAGTCGTGCGACGCCCATTCCATGCCGTTTATCTGCTTTACAAAACACGGTTGGTCGATGACAGATTACTAGTGTGTACTTACGTGAAGAATACCTAACCTTATCCGTATGTCCGGTACATGTGAATTGTTGCTGAAACGTCACCGAACAATAGACTTCCACCACCAGTTGATTGACAATGGCGAACAAGTGGCCGGACACGCTAAACCGTACTATAGAGCAATTCGCAATAGGAAACTCTCGCCAAGTCACCAGGCAATCCGGATGAATCAACTGAAATACAACCTTGCTCCGTAAAGCCGTCACACAGTACAGACCGGTCGGATGACACGAAATGCTTAGCACGTCCTCGTCGAATTGTTCGCTGAACACCATTCTCGTTTCCAAATAGTTCCATACCTTAACGGTACGGTCCATACCACACGTCAAAAAGAACGACTTCCACTTGCACGGCGACAGACCGCATATAGGCCCGTGATGTAATGTCGCTCCCAGAGGCTTGAATTTCTGCGATTCATCGTCATAGTCACGATAAAATAATTTACCCTACCGTTAGCAGAGTTGGCAAGGAAAAGCCCAAACCAAAAACATTTTTAACATGGAAAAGTTAGTGGGCCGGATGCAAGAAATTTCCTGTCGCCATTTCCGCGTCACATTTCCGTTTAAGCCCATCAAATGTTTAGAATTTACTTGAAAACATGGGTTTTGTTAGGTGTATGCATACCCATAAAATGGCACGTGCAGTTTTAAAAACTCTTATTGATGCTAACTCTGATCGTTGGTGTTTTTTAATAGCACAAAAAACCGGATTTATACTATACCACTGATATGTCCCTGTTGCCTTGGAGCTCCGCCCAGTAAAGCTGTGGCTGTCCGGTGACGCACGCCAAGGTGTCGTTTTCTACGTTCAAGCATATCATATCGATAACGTTTAATTGATCTTCCATCGATTCGTCATCCGCCGAAGCTGCACGATTTTCCAAAGTGAACGTGGTCCGTTTCCTATACCTATGCGATCAGTTGTTCTACTTATCAGTCTTCAGTATTATTTTACAGTATATATATTTAAAAAACGAGCATTGTGAATTATTATAATTTATAAGTGGTAAAATCATTTACGAAAAAAACGTTGATGCAAGCCTGTTAACCGTACCAATATCACATTCCAATAAAAATTACTTTATTGGCAATAAATTTGCTTACAGTCGTGTTTTTGGGTTTGAAAAACAAATCAAATAAAAATTTGCGCATATTAAGGGAAAAGCGTTAATGATTTTTTTGTTTAAGTTTTTGGTGCTACACCTAATTCTTACTCTAAACAAGTTTGGAACTAATTCTACTTTTGACGACGGTTAACTCTAGTTAAATTAGCTACCTGTTGTACTTACCTTCCATCCATTAACTCGAAGTAGTACACTTCAAAGTCGCCCACCACAAATAGTAAGCCTCCTTCGAACGACACGCAGCACTTGATACACGTTTTCTGTTCGTATTTAACGGGCAAAGGCAACACGTCTGCAGGATTCTTTAACTTTATCGTAAGGTCGAGGTCTAGCAACGTTTGTACAATGAATACTGCTTTTAGATCACCTTCGTCTACTAGTACCAACCGACAGTCGGACGTACCCGCCAAAATTCTGCACGAGACCAAAACCACCACCTCATTAGTTATTGAGTATGTAATAGGACAGCGTACTTATCAAAACAGACTTATAGTTTTGTGTGTGTTTATTGTGCGTATTGATCTGATGCCTTATATGACAGGTATAATTGCATACCAGTTATACAATTACAATAATCGCATAAATAAGTCAAAATATTGCCTCTCCGACCAAAAAGATGAAACAAAAAATAATACAGTTACTAAGTTTGGGGATGGTTTTGCAATAGATAGTTAAGAGAGATACATAAATTATAACGTCAAATTATACAATACATATTTTCATCGTAAAAAAGTTGATCCAAAAACGTTGTTAAGCAATTTTGACTTTATTGACATTTTCACCGTTAAATTTGACTATAGATAAAGCTAATATTGTGGTGATATAGTTTACAAAAATATAAAAACAACTTGACACCTTTTATAAAAAATTGTACAAATGATTCACCATAATATAAAAAATCAATGCACAGGTGCTATCTATACGAGCAAAATACAGTTTAAAAAAGCATAATCTTTTTTTATGTTTTACAATAGAGAGCGCCAACTAAGCGATTTCAAATTGCATAGGGTGAACACAGATTTAAACAAAGTCTTACATTTATTAACTTAGTACCCACTAAGTATGGTTATAAAGCCGTTTCGTATAATATTTTCTCGTCCTTGTTATTATTTCAACGATACATATTTATACAGTTATCAACATGAGTATAATAAATATTTAATATTTATGTTAATATAATTAAAACTAATATAAATAATATTAGTTTTAACAGTTGTTTTTGTTTCGAGAATCTAATATTTGCACTAACTCAAGCTATAAAACCAATGAAAAATATTGAGTGGAATGAATAAGGGTAGCAAGAAAATAAATGGGTAAGTGAAACTGAAAATATTTACACAGAAAAAACATTTTTCTTTTTAAATTTATTTAACGTTATGAAATTTTAACATCGAGTGGTTAAAATAATTTATTAAAACTACACTGTGTTTTAGTTATTTCACAATTTTAAACGAAATTTTTATTTTTTTTTTTAAATTATTACATTTTATCAAATAGTACACGCAAAAAACTACCAATGACATAAGAAATTCTAAATAGATACAAAATAATTTTTATACTTGGGCTTTTTTCTTCTAAGTTTTGGAGATGTTTAATACCGCAAAATATGAGATGTCCGGTTAATATTAGTAAATGTTTTTAAAAAAATTAATAGGTGCTACTTTAAATAATTCGTTTTTACAATTTATTAACATTTTTTAATAGCAGCTATTTTAGTATTACACATCTCTATTATTTTTGTCTTCGGACATTTTTAACTCAAACCCTGAATTATAAAAGTATGGCCAAAATTGTTCATGGAAAATTCGAAAATTACTATTTAGACGCTTGCCTGTTTCCGTTCACCCAGCACGCCGTGGTTATGTCGAACTTGTCGGCTTTTTGAAATCCAAACTGTTTCCACGTCAAATCGCCCAAGACCATCAGTCTGAACAGACCTTTGCCCACGAAACACACGATTCGCGGGTCGACCGGATTCAAAGCCATCTGATCTGGTCATAAAACGAAACAAAAAAAAACAAAATTAAATGATCGTTATTATAGTCTCACACGGCAGATGCAAATTGACTCACGTCGGTAACGGGACCGACGATTTCCGGCGGATTGGTCGCCTTTGTTTCGTTTAGGATCTTCGACCGGAACCAGTCAAAATAGTACATGATTGGATCGACGCCATCGGACAGCCCGACCAAGTATGATCCGTCGCAGGTGAACTTGATCTGAACAAAGTAACTGTCTCCGGTCATGTCGCCTGGCATTGGCATCACCCGTTTCCTCCTGAACGTTTCCAAGTCGTATAGGACGATCGACGACTCTTCGCCCTTGTCCGCCACGGCCAGCAAATTTCTGAAATGGTCGCGTAATCCTTAGATGTATGCCCTTAACGCCGGATCAATAATAAAAATTTAAAAAAAAGATATTTTCTCCACTCATAGATTCAAAAGTATCATAGATATTTTGGGCTATCATCATCACTTGGTGTTCATGTTAATATAAATGTTCATTTTCCTCTCATCTCCTCTTATATCATCTCCCTCTCCCCTTCCCTACATCAACAATATCCATTTACCCTACTCTTCCTCTGTCTACAATCTCCTTCCTAAAAAAACATACAGAACGATAAAGCTTTTTTCTGGTAAATGCCAATAGGTTGTAAGCTGTAGAATTTTCCTTATGGTAGTCCTCCTCCATAAATTGTATATATTAGTTGTTTTAAATAGAGAACATTTTTAAATATACGTTAAAAAAAATTGTATTTTTATTGTGAAACTGATAAAGTTACATACACCGAAAGAGGAATTCTTAAAAAAAATAAACAAAGCCGATGTTTCATGTTGAAAATATACTATTTTTGAGTAGCATAGTATACAAAAATATAATTCAAATTCTTTATCTTCAAATTCAAAATATCTTTTAAGAGTTCAGACTAATAATTATGCCATACGGTTGAAATAATAAATCACATTTTTATTTATTAAATTATTTAGTTTTTATTAAATTTGACAATTTATTTAGAAAATAAAATTATTTTACACAAATTGTACAAAAAATTGGACTTTTTTAAATAGTCGAACATTTGGCATGAGTTAAGCGAAAAAAAAAGAGACCTCTTGTCACAAAAATCAAATTTTGAGTTATTGGTTATTCAAAACTTTGCACTAGATTCTGAACATTTTGAGACCAGAGTCGTTCAGAGTTATAATTGTTTGAATTTAGTTTACATTACACAGACTTACTTGCTGATACAAATGTCCATCGCGGTGATGATGTTTTGCGGTTCGGATAAGTGCAAAAACCTTTGGGTGTTTTGATTGAAGTTGTGTGCTATTATCAAACCAGCTGCCGGATAAATGAGTTCGTTTTTGTTGGCACACAGACAATTACCGTGGACGCCTGTGGTAAGTCCAAAAAAAAACTTAGGCTTCAGCGAAGGAACCGTTCCCGACATGATGGCTCGATATTGTTAACAATAATTAGGTTTAGAAGACAATGTTCAATAATAATGACAATAAAGGACCCCGTGACAACGTTTTTTGTTGAATCATGTTTAATAGCATTGCATAGCTACACACAGGTCGTCAAGGTTATTGTACAATCCAAGACATGATAAAATTACCATTATTAAGAAAACCAGCTTTTCTAGCCTACCTATACTTGACTACCTATACTGATACCTATACTCGCTTTGTGATTTATGAAGCTATCGAAGGGAAACCAAAAAGCTAAAGAACAAAGTTTTGAAGACAAAGTTGTTATGGCTATTTAAACATATTGTATTTTTTATATGTTATTAAAATTATAAGTACAAATATTAGGTTTATTAAAATTAACAATCCCCATTATCCCCATTGGAACAAAAAATAAATTATTCTTGTAGGTATCGTTAATATTAAATCATTAAAATATATGAAAAGTTACTAAAAAAACGTTATACTAAACACATTTCACTAAAAATATAGTTTTGATAATTTCGTTCTTTTTCAAATACAAAACCACATATTTCTTTAAAATACGCAAGCAAAATTGTACTTTAAACATTTGGGGGGTAATAGCAATTTATTCATAAAAGGATAAAGTAGAGCAACTTTTGAAAATATACATCTGTATTTCATTAAAACTCTCTATTTATTTGTAAAACGCGTATAGTAGGGAGCATATTTTATGTATTCCTATTTAATAAAATCAGCAAATGTTTTCATAAAAATCAATGAATGCAATTAGGTTGAAAAAAATTGAAAAAAAGAACCTAACAGCTCCAGAAAAAAACGGAAACATATAATATGATTGTTATTAATTGTACTAATAAAAATCATTAATGCTGAGATTTTTTAAATTAATTTAAACGATGATTTTAGTGATATATACTTTAAATTATTGTAGTACTTAAAGTTGCGATTTTTAAGTATTCATAAGGTATATATTATGTTTTATACGTTTTGAAAATAGATATTTTTTTTTTAACAACAGAAAGCTGCATGTTTAGATTTTTCATCGTATATGATTGCATATTAAACAACGTTTCTTTGTATGTTAATTGTATCATATTTAACCCATTTTTAGGATATTTAATTCCAGGCTCTACTTATTGTCTCCTTCTGTGCTATACTATCCGTTACCATATCTCTATTAACTATACACACCTCAGTAACTTTATTAGAATACAGTAGTGTTGAAATATGTCAAACGGATGTGTACCCCGACCTCTCGCTCCAGCACATCCGCTATCTAGAGAACATGCTTTATCAGCAATTGCCGAACCATTTAACAGGTCGTCAACAATAAGTTACATCCACCCACCTCTTGACTATTGTAAGTCATCAAAGAAATAGAATTGCTTTAATCAATGACTAAAGTCGAAAACAGTCGCGGATCTATAAATTACAAAAGAAAGAGCCAACTTGGTAGTAAAAAATAATTGGTTTTCTGTTAGATCCGGTTAGATTGTTAGATTTCTGTTGACACCATCTTAATGTTGATACTTTTCTGTTAAATAGTATTTTTTCAGTTGTTTCTAAAGAATCTTTATACATTAGTATTGAAAACTTTTTATTAAAAAAAATAGTGACTAAGGTGAGCACCGAATTCACCACAAAAGCGACATTTTTTGCAGATGCAAATGCAAAACAAGAACTTTTCGTTTAATTCAACAAGAGAAAACTCGTTTAGTTCAAGTCCTCAATTGAAAGTACAATAAAAAATAAAATCCCTTTGTTTTAATAATCTTCTTCGAAAGCGTTCACCGCTCAAGCAAACACTGGCTTACCCTTTTTCTTGGAAACCTAAATAGAAATCGATACAAAAACTCCGCCTGGGTTATTTAACGAACAAATATTGACAAATGCTTAATTGATGTTTGTTTTATTTTTATTACTCCTAACATAATATACTAACAAACGTTAATAACAAATAATTATTACGGCAAACTATTAAAACACAAACTATTGTGACTCCGGTCTTAGTTGTTAAACTTCTACAGAGTCTATAGGCGCCTTGAGAGAGAGTAATTTATTGAGATTCCGACTAATCGAGCATTTTCACGAGGCTGTCAAATCTTATACTTAGAGGTCACGAGAAGCAGCTCTGTTATATTAAAACAAAGAACAGCGGTAAATAAAATACATCATCATTACACAGCGCAGCCTGTGTAATGAATAAATAATTTTAGTTATTAATTATTATTATGACGGGAAATCATATCACAATATTGACGAAAGAGATAAAAATGTTACACATACAATTAGTTTTTATCAAACAATCGTTTTTTAAAGGGCAAATAAATATAAAATAATATTATTTATAATGTAAATGTTCAAGTACTGAATGATGAGTTGTTCAAATGTTATAGGACGAATCGTGACGAAAGGGACAATCAAGTCCTAAAGTCAAATTAAATACTTGAAGGCACGAAAACATACTCATAGATTAACGTACACAAAAAATATGCACTAAGATTTATAACCGAAGACACTCACAATATATTCGTGTATAGTAAAGAGCCCAACAATAGGCACTAGATCCATAGGACCAAAATATAGCTAAATTTTCAGAGTAATGAGAGCTTTAAAATATCTCGTTGCACAAAATAAAATATTTTCAAAAAATAGAAAGTTTAATACTGTTTCTAAGGAAAAATCTAGTTTTGGGAAAAATTAAATTTAGTAACGAACAACAATTAACAAAATATTGAATAACGTTAAATTAAGCCGGTTATTACTGATACACATAAAGAGCGAATGGGGCGGATAGACTTTTCTGCATTTCTACTTGTGTAGGTATGCTGTTTGGCATATTATAAACACTAACCGTTGTGAGTTCGATCACATTGTGATCATTAAAAATATCAATACAATGGGTTATTATTATTAAATTTCACAGTTAATAAAAAGATTATACGCGTTTTGTTTCTAGTAAACCTATTTATTAAACAATCGGTTATTTATTGAAAACATAAATACAACATAAGCAAGTAAGCATTGGTCATTTTCGATTTGCGAATCATTAATTTATAGGAAAACTTACAGGACATATTTTTTTTTTATAATAATTTGTCATTTATTATGTTTACTTATTGTACGGTGAGCGTCAGATTTTCATCTATTGCGGCGGCTCAGTGGAAAAATGAATATCGTTATTGATCAGTCCATGACGCAGCACAGGCCACAGCGGTAGCAGCTCGCCCAGTCATCTCCTCCTCTCTTATCAGCTATTCTGTCGTTATCTCTTAATGTGCCTTAACAGATTAGGTATATAATAACATAAAATTCAGTGTCTGCCGTCTGGAGAACGAACAACAAAACAATACTAAAGCAAAGAAAATTACAATTTACACTTTATTTTAAATACCTAATTGCGTTATCCGTGTGCTCCCAATAACGTCACGGCTGCCATAAGTAACAAACCAGCGCAACAACGGCTATCGATTTCATCGTAGAGTCTAACTCGTTGATTCATCCTGTCGTGTCTGTTTGGATTCAATAGGAAAACCATGGACTTGGAAAACGTCAAGCAAATAATCAGGGACGCCGGCACTGCCCTCAGCCGAGCCGTGCAGGTGAACTTTAATAAATTAACACAAAACCGAGTTTCTATTTTGTTAAGGTGCGTCAAAAATGTAGACCAAAAAACCGTTGGCGGGTCTCCATTTGTCTTCACTCTTAGGTGATAAGTAAGAACGTTTGATTGCGTTAATTGGCATTCGTCTCAAATGTTGGCCTATAGCCGTTAGCTTTATCACAAACTTTATGCCAAACTATCTTTATTGATTCAATTTAGATTTACTTTTAACTCGACAGTATACAGTTTAAATAATGAGTTTTGAAGTTTTGTTATATTTTCCGACAGCAAAAAAATAACTGTAGTTAAATTTTTAATTAGTCGTACATTTTGTTTGCTATTTTTCTTTGTAGCGGGTCTCTTATGCTTTTCTGTGGTTTGCTCTTTCTATTTGTCTTTCGTCTACTAATATTTGAACTTATTGGCTTAGTGTACGTAAATTTCAAGTTCATAATTTCTCAGTATTGATTATTTTCGTTCATATTGTTCACACTGAAAAATTAATTTATCCAAGTCCTGTCGAATTACCTTCACATTCAAGCAGAGTTTATATACGACAAAGGTATCTGCCCACATGTAAAACTTAACAACAGAATAATACCGCCAGCCAAAACTATCAAATATCTAGAAGTTCAATTCGACCAAAAAAATTACATAGGCTTATCTTATCCAAACTGAAACTGAACGTCCGCTTGCAAATACTTAAACGATTCCTACAATATAAATCAAAGCTATCACTTCATACAAAATTCATTTTGTACAAACTCTTACTTAAACCTCTATGGACCTATAGAATACAAATCTGAGGCTCTAAAAAACACTAAGCTTAATAAACTACAAGTAACTTAAAACAAAATATTTTTTCATACTTTCATTGGTTATAAGTCACTTGTGTAAATTCTTCAAATTTGTCAGTTCAGTATTTCACTTTTGTCACATTCTGTGTGTTCCTTAATACTTTTAACAAGTCAGATGGCACATCTAATTAAAAGTCAAAGAATATTGTTTAATTACAAAACGCCAAATATAAAATTATTATTATCAATAAAAGGTGAAACCTTTTTTTTTTCGACTAGCGCACCATCTAATTTAATTGATTTCCATTCTAATGCGTCGAGAACCAACCTATTAGTAATCCAATAAATTTAATTTTGTGAGAAACATTGAAAGCTAACAGATTGTTTATCTGATTGATCATCTAATGAGTAAAAAAAAACACAGATTGAAACCTTAGTCACAATTAAATGAAACCTTTTATAGAGGACAATATTATGTTTTAAAAGTCAATTTTAGAGTACAGCATAGTATTTTATTTATTAATATCAATTTTTGAAATTTGAAAAAATGATTTTAACTCTAACTAATTTATTTTTTGTTTTATTTAGTTTACTGAAGAAAAATTGGGTAAAGCTGAGAAAACAGAACTTGATCCAAATTTCGAGCAATTGGTCAACTTTTCCGACAAAACCAAGCTTAACACCGAAAATATAATAAAGAATATGGAATTTATTTTAAGCCTTAACCCAGGTAAAAATGTATTTAATTTTTTTCTTATTATTGTTGTTTTTAAATCTGCTAAATCATCCTAACACCTAATATGCATATAAATTACCTCTCTCTAAACTACCTCAAATTTGATTTTACGCATAAGTGAAATAATAAGTGAGCTGTGAGGCCAATAGAATAACAAATAATGCATCTTAAATTTTAAATGTTTTTTTAAAAAAATATACTGTTAAAAAGGTTTCCTAACTATTAAGATTTAAAATTGGACTTAAGTTAGAAATTAATTTATTATAAGAATACCTCATATTATGAAATTAAATCTAGAGAGTACAACATAAATATTATTTGAGTTTTGTTGCATTCATTCTTAACATAGATCATAATCCCCATGATTATGGTCTGGCAATAAATTAGTTGTTATTGTTATAATATAGTATTATTTGTTTCAGGAATGAGAGTGGAAAATTTATTTTTTTTGGACAAGAAGAAATCTGGATTAAGTAGCTTGGAGTACTTGGGTCTAGCTATGACAGAAGCAGGAAATGAATTTGGACCAGACACAGCTTACGGTACTTTGGAATGTGTTTAACCTTTCATTGTTATCGAAGTTAGGGTTTCGCTAACAATAAACTTATATTAAGAACCACTTGTTCATATAATAATAGACTGTTTTGAAACTAAATGTACTAATAAACTAATTGTCAACATAATATTATACCAAAAAAAAATGTAAACATCTATTTGTGGGTATGATGGTCAAAGTCTGCAGCACAATATTATGTTAACGTCACACGATACCAATATATGTTATATATATAATAAATATGTATACCAGTATACATCATTTTTTTCATACTTTTAAAAAATGAACAAATAAAGCGAGCAAGTGTCATTTTTTCTTATATAAACTGTATTTAAAACACTTATAAAAAGAAATAATATATTAAGTACTGGGGGTTGTTTACTTTATATAAAATGCATTTTTTTTACTATCAAAAATTGATTTTAAATTTAAAATTTGAATAAAAAAGATAATAAGTAATTTAACTTCTGTACGATATAAATAGATAAACACTTATATCATTGTTTCATTACTCCAAGTTCATTAAATAATTCACACGAATAAAAAAACAACTAGTTAGCATAACATACCCATTATAACTAATCAATTACCAATTACCAATCATTACTAATTATGATACCAATCATGTTAAAAAACATAACACTATCTACGACAGGTTAATCTTAAATTTTATCTAATTTATATTAAATCTTGTATTATTTTATTTTTTATATTTTTTAGGAAGCGCTTTGATAAAAGTTGGTAATATCCAACAAACTTTAGGACTCAATCAAAGGGAGTTTGTCAAGTCGGCGAATGATTGCTTTGTTAATCCCATGAACAAATATTTGGAAACAGATATGAAAACTGTTGTTAAGGAACGCTCTTTGATGGAAAAAAGACGGTAATAAAATTGTTTTTTTTATTTAATGTTTTATTCTTATGTTAATAAATGTAATGTTCTATTATGATATTATAGCCTTGACCTAGATGCTTGCAAAACACGAGTGCGCAAGGTCAGAATGCTTGCAACGACAAAAGATAAGGTATGATATTGTTATACTGGTTTAGTATTAAGGTTTTTTTTTCAAATACATTTTTTTTTTTTAATGGGATAAATGGGTTTTTAAATAATTGCATGCAGCCGGATGAAACAGGTCCAACTATCGAAGAACAGATAGAAAAGGTAATCAAAAGATACTTAATGTGTGCCTTTAGTTTGATTAAATAAAATGTTAAAGTGTATTTTTTTATTTAATTTGTTAGTATGTATTGTTATTTTAAATTATTTCTCTAATGTTTGTTAATGGTTTTTAGGCTGAAAATGATCTCAAAATAGCCCAAGAAGAATATGATCGCCAGGCAGAAATAACCAAGTTGCTTATGGAAGGCGTGCCAAGTGCTCAACCTCAACACTTGCAGCACCTACTTGATTTTGTTGATACACAAGCAGCCTTCTACTTAAAATGTCACGAGTCTCTTATGAGTCTACAATCTGATTTATCTGGGTTAGCTTATAGAACAAAAAATAAATTTGAAGTGATAGTCTTATATATGGAAAGTCTTTAGTGACGTGACAAACACAATCTTTCATAATAATTTTTATTTTTTTAACGAAATCAATCTATTAAGCTACTTAGGGGGACCGAAAGCATACATATTTTACAAATGAAGCCTAAATCGTAAAGTCACTTTCTGGCTACCGAAGCATTTCAACAATTTTTGTATTTGTATAGTTCTTCATATTGTATCTTCTCTATGGGGGCTAAATTTTAAAAGCCGAAATTTTGTTTTCAATTAACGTTATTCATATTTTTAATTTTTTTTAATTAATCAAAACTAAATTTCTAGTTCTGAAATAAAAAATCGGCCTTTTAGCCCTCATAAAAAAAGTGTTTCACAAAAAAAAAATTAAAATCTCACCAATAGATACGCCAGAAAATTATCTACATAAGTCATTTTTAATCAAACTTTCGCCATAACTCGGAAAAAAAGTTTAAAAGTATTACAACTATAAAAACTTAATATTTTTTCACCTTAAAATTAGTCGGCATATAAAAAATGGCTACTATATACATTTTTGAAAAAAAATTGCCTATCCTATACCCCTTAATAAATAGCGCTTTCCGTTCCTTTTAACAAGTTAAAAATTTACTTTTTCGCTAACTTATATTAACTAAAAAAATTACTTTTTAATACAAAATAATTTTATCTAACGGTTTATTTTCCAAAACAACAATGTTATTAAAAAATATTAATTATTTTCACAAATAAATGATTATGGTTTAGGTAATTGTTATAATATATCTTAATTAAAAAAAAAAATGGAATATTTGTCCTTAAAAGTGTATTATTTTTGAAAAAGTAACATAACTTACAACAAAGTTAAATTTTTGTTTAAGTCTATTTTAAACTAGTTTAAAAAAAATGATTTTGCCCAGCATTGTATATTTTTATTTATTTATTTGAACAAAACACAATAGGTATTCATTTATCAGATTAAAATATGTAGTTTAAAAACTTTTATCGGATGGTGGTAATATTTTTATCAACAACTAAAAAATAATTAAATACACACTGTTGCAACTTGTTATTTTTCTTTTTTTACAGTAATGTATGTTTTTAAAAATATTTGGTGCTATCTATTGGTTTCTTTGTGGACTTACACATAATATTTATTATCAATTTTATTATTGTAAATACGAATCAAATTATACACCTCAAAATTAGTTTAAAAACATTGTTTTTTTTTAAAGTTAAAAAATTGTGAATTTAATGGTTAACATCTGGTTTATACTATTATGTACCAGGGTCGTTTATCGAAACATACATTTATGTTTATAAGTTAAAGATTAAAATCAACTGTTTGTCACATTACTTTAGTGACACCTTTTACTAAAACTAACACGTTTAAATTTCCTTCAGAAAAACTCGCACAAAAACAACTAAGTTAGGTAGTATTTTAACTGTTTTTTCAATAAACACTAATGTGTTTTTCTTTTACACCAACGAAAAACTACCATATTTTACTATGTCAACATATTAAATTTTTTAGGATGATTAAATGTGTTAGTTTTCGTAAGGGATGTCGTTTTATTCTTAAAATAATGAATCTTTTTTACAATCTTGATACTTGTTTTAGATTTCCTTCCGACCATGATAATATTGCAACACTATCACCTGATACCCCGGCTCTAGGTCGCATGCAGCAGGCAAAAGTCATTACTAGTCAAGAACCTCGAGATCTCAGTGAACTCAGACTCAGTGCCGGTGAAGTAAGTTATTTGAGTATATAAACCCTTGAAAAATTATGTCTGTACCTTTTTCAATAAATAAATTGCTGTAGTAGGTAATAGAAAGTAGATTCCAGTATCAAATATAGTTAGCCAAGTAATAATACTCATTTACTGTTTAGTATATTGACGTAGAAGATTTTTTTTTTAATTGTTTTTTTCTTATAAAATATTTAAAAAATGTGTGTACTTATTTTATATTTTTCAACAGATCATAAGTATTGATGTAAACTCAGACATCGGTTCCAACTATTTTATCGGTAAAAAAATTCAAAAAGGCAAAGTTTATAAAAGCAACGTTAGGCTCTTGAATCAAAGTTAAACGTATTAAATTTATATACTACTTACATTCCTTTAAACAACAATTATATTATATTTAAATTTAAAATATTTATACTTCCTTTTAAGCTTTTAAATATACTTAATGCAACTTGATAATGTTGCTCACTAATTAGCCAATCTTTACAGACTTAGTTTATGTTATGTAGCACGAATATAGCCTTTCTTTCATGGAAGTGTATCTGTATTTTAATATTATACTCATTTACTAGTATTAGTTTTAAACAAAATATGTATTGAATCTTCAATTTTATTATTACTGTTTGTTATTTAATGAATTTATTATATATGTTTAATGTTTATTCTATTGATCTGGTAATTATTATAAGTAACAATTTATTATTATACTATTGTTTTAAAGTACCTATTTAAAATAATAAACAATACAACTTAACAAACTCGTACATTGTTTTTATTTATAAGTTGAATATTGTATCATTATTTTGTTTTTATTGTGTATACAAACAAATAATTGAAATCCATGTATTTTTAGTAAGATTTGCTTTTACATGGGCAATGAATTTAATTTATACAAATGATACACCATAAAATATAAATCAAAACGTTTCAATTTTCCACACAGCTAAAATTTTTATAAAATTATGTTAATATAATGTTTTAATAATAATTTTAAAAAAATTTGTATGTGTTTTTATGAATATGGCTTAATGTCTTTTCGACTTTTAAGTAATGGTAGATAAGAGCAATACTTAAGCATCAGCATTTTATTAAGTCAGTACATAATTAAAAAGATTCAAAAAACTATTTGAATGATATATGAATTAAAAAATAAAAATAAATAATATGTATCTATTAATCACAATATGGCAGTTTGTATATGTTATCATTTAATTATTTGCTGGTTAGTCTACTTTTTTTAATTTGTGTCGCAAGGGCCTTTTTTACACAGTTTGAAAAGGTGTTTTAGTTTATATGTTTAGAGGTCTTACCCGTTTGTACAAGATATTATAATAATTGTTAACCATCACTACACTCAGGCTATTTATTTGTCTGTGATAACTTAAGCCAGTGTATTGTGTAATAATGGAATAATTATAAAGCAAACACATTTTTTAACTAATTAAAAATACATTTTATAAGCTACCATTTAAATAACTCATTTTTTTGTGTGTTTTGAAAGGGAAGGGGTGATTTTTTTTAATTATTTGTCCAATGAAGTACCTTTCATGTACAATTTCTACTCTATAAACTTGCTACATGAAGAAAACGATTCAGGGATAAAAAAGATATCGGGAGTCCACAGATAAAAATATAAATAAAAGATCAAAACACATCACATTATTGTAAAAACAATAGCTTCTTGCTACGTATTGAAGTTAACAGTAGCATAATTATATTAATACAAGCAAATAATTACAATACTTACCCCAACTTTCAAATTACAAAATATTTTGTTTTCTTTACTACACTTTGAGAATATACAGATGGTATAGTATTTAGTTTGTCACACTTTTTTATTTTATAAATATTATCAAAAATTGTTATTTATTTTATATTTTTATGTATCTATCGAGTGGTGAGTAATATGCTGTGTCTACCCAACAACCTAAGAACTGCAAAAACCAGCTACTTGCTTACTTAATAATATAATTGTATATGCTCATCAAAGTGTAGATAAAGTTCTATTTTTTTTTTAATAATTCGAGTAACTTGCTGGCATATCCAATAACTTAGTCGTATTTCCAAAAAGTAAACCGGTATGGTTAAAGGTCTGACTGGCCTCGCTCTGAGCACAACATATCAGTCCAGGGGGCGCCTTAACCACCCTTAACGATGAAGGTGGTGCTATCTACGGGACAAACGCTATTGCTATAGAGAACACACCCTTTTTTGACGTGCTAAACTCAGATTTTTTGGAGAAGACTTCTCGCATGTAATCATTTCCGGCCGATTGTTTAGTATATAAGCAACCAGGCGGTGGATGTTTCTCTACGGGGCCAGTGCCGTGGTTAAGCACAAGTCCGGTGGCTGAACGTTCCAAACTCACCATAAGGTGAAATCTTTCAGTGGCGAGGGTGGCGTCTAGAGTACCACCTCTTCTGTGCTATGCTCTCGACTCATTCTCGCCTCTCATCTTCTCCCCCCATAAAGTCGGCATAGAGTACCTCATATTGAGGGGGCCAATGGCATTCGTGATTTCGTGATTCGTCATGTATCATGTTGTAGGCCCATTCGTCCCTCTACCGATTCCCTAGTTCGTGCAGCTAAAACATATGACAAAACGGCCCCTAATATTTTTTTTTTAATTGTTTTTAATTTATTTTTTTAATTTGTTTTTAAAACGAACATATTTTTACACGGCCAGCAATATTATTAATTGAAATACATAGAAAGTTTTTTTCAAGCTCACCATTTACAGTTTGATGTGTTTTAAAACTGCTTCGATTAAGGTCAAACAATAATTGTTTTATCTATACTCTATAATACATTTTTTAGAACGTTTATTTTAAAAAAGGGGTTTTTTATTACGGAGTACCTACACTATAATATATTTGTAAATAAATTATTCAATTAATTATTGTATTGGTACAATGAACGATACACATAATGTACCTGGTAGATACTAGTACTACTAAATATTGTAAAAAAATGTTGGCAATATGATTGTTTTATATTTAATATTTATAAGAATTTCTCACGTGGAAGTTAATTCTTATTTTCAGTAATTTCTTCCAATGTTATGGCAATTCCCCTTTCAGAGGCTTATTTAAAATATCTAGACGCTTAGACTAAACCTGTGGTGCGGGCCCTTCACAGGAAATAATTTGAAAATTAACCTTCAAGAATCGAATTTAAAAAAAATTTTAAATCTAAAAGCCTAAAGAGTTTAGGTAGAGCCTAAGTTTAAGTTCATGCAATATAAATTGATAAAAAAAAATAAAAAAGATGAAAATCATTAAGGTATTCAACACGTTGTTCATTAGGTACCATTGTTATTAACAACGATATTAAAAATAAAACACAAAGTTAAGATTCGTGTTTACGTTCCCAAACATGTAAAAATCACACATCGATGTTAAAATTTTTAAAAAATTACATATTGTAATTTTAAGTAAACATTAAACATAATAGTCAAATTCAAGATGACAAAAAATAACAAATTTCTCTTTTATATTTAATTTGAATACAAGTACAGTGTATAAAAAAGACTTAAAGGTAATGCTAAATGAACTAGTAGAGGAGACAATAGTGGGAGACAATTATTAATTTATTAACTGTAGTTTGTATAATATATAATAGAAAAACAATTGTTATAACTGTTTGAACGACCATTCATATTTTTTTATTTTGGCGTCTACCACCTCAAGAATTTTCAAACAAAATAAATAATAATAGCAAGTATTATATAGCTCCCGAGAGGGTATAAAACAGAGACAATTGACAACCTCCGGCAGCAAAATAAATAGCAAAGGAAATCCGGCTTTCTATATTGCAACGGATAGTATTAGTCGAATTTAAAATACTATACGTTTTCTTTAGTTGTTTACCTAAATTAAATACTAAACAAAAATAAACTGTATTTTCAACACCATACCAAGCGATTAGGATTTTTATTTTAGTCCATTAAAAACTAAAATGTTTTTTTTTGCCCATACGATGCAGCCTGGATGGACCGCGTGTATATATGACGCTGTTCACCATAAATAAAGATTATTTCTCTCCAACACAATAACATTTTTATTTCACTAAATAAAAGTATTTATCTAGTTAAGTATTTATTAATTCAACACAATACTTGACAATACTAGTACTCAAACCAACAGAATAAAATAATTCTGTGCTCGACAAGAAATTAACAGTACTTTTTTTAATAAAAAAAACCTATTACTAACATTGTAAATAACGATTGTTAATGAATGAATATGATTAACAGCGCCACATGATATTGCTAAATATATTATCAAAGTAGTTGTTATTTTATAATTTCAAAAAAATATTTTTTCATGTATTATTTCAACTGCCAACAATATTTCAAGACATAATACCTAAATAAATATGTTTACATCGTACACTGACACTAAAATATAGATTGTCATAGTAATAGTAGTATTGTAACAATAGTTTCAAGTTGTTAATTTAAATAACAAAAAAGGTAAACAACAATTAGGCTTAATGTAATAACAATATGCAATTTAAAGAAATTCAATTGGAAAAATAAGGTTTTACCTTATCTCAGCCTATTAAATGATTTTAGTTTTTATTAATATATAGTAATAGTTTTAGTAGGTAGAGTACCTACATAGAGCAATAGCGAAAAGAAGAATAATATATTAATATGTTTGACATCTCTATACTAATATAACATATTAGTATTATATATACTAATATCACGTAAACAAGTTTTTCAGTCATTAATATACAAGTTTATATATTATATAAACTGCTACTAGCATATTTATATATAAATATGGTGTAAAAAATACTTGGTAAAAATATATACAATGTGAATCGAATATTTGACAGATTTTATATGTAAATATGAAACTCGTGACTCACATTTTATAAATGAAAATGGTGAATAACAACAAGTGTATTTTAATGTAGTTGTCATTAAAAAAAAATTGTATTTCTATGTATAATCAGTTATTTAATTATATTTTTGTCTAAAAACTCCATTAATTGAAACATTGCCTTTTTCCTGTGAGAGATACGATTCTTTTCTGATTTTGGCATTTCCGCAAAGGTTACATTATACCCCTCTGGCTGAAAACATGAATCCCAACCAAACGTCTCCTCTGTTTTGGGTTCTACTATAGAACCTTCTGTTTCGCCTTTAAACAACTCTATTTCGCCTAGTTCATTAACATACGCCACTGTACACACTGCCATCGCCGATTTGTCTTGGAACCCATGAAGCATGCGATGTAGTCCCTCTGGTCCGGTTTTTTGCAAAAACCATTTCACGTACGGACCTTAAAAATAATCATTTTAAAAAAATCTAATAAATTTAAACAGTATTTTCAAAATAAAAATAAAATCTAAGTTCTGAATAACCTGGAAGACCGCCTAAAGCATTAAAGCACAGACTAGTGTCTTCTACGATGCATGGCCCTTTGATAATATCATACGCTGCTCGAGCCTTCATTTTACAAATATCGTCTTGTTCTCCTTGATGTTCGGGCAGGTCAACATTCTTGGAGGAAATCTGAAAAAAAGAATGTCAAACTGCATGAAAATTACTAGCACAACAAAACTAACTAAAATATACGAACAGCAAACGGAACGGTTCCTTTGTAAAAATTTATGAACATTTGAACGACTTCTTCCAGTTTTTTCGCATTGCCGGTAACGAACACAATTTCTTTTCTGGACATGTCGATTTGTGCGACCAAAGCTATTAGAATAATCATTGCTATCAGAGCGATCAGAACGACGAGAATAATAAATTCAAACCTGAGATAGATACCGTACCTCTGAACGAATTGACAACAGTCTGATGAAAAATGTCTGAAGATGTGAAGATAATTACTTTTTTAATACTTTTTTGATGATTTTCTGAAAAAGTTAAATGTGAACGCGAACACCGAGCGGCAATTGTTATCATGAAAAAATAAATCAAATCCGTTGATATCGTTAACAGCTATAATAATATGATAACATCATTTTCGAAATGATTATCCGTGTTGATGAATGATAAAATAATAACGCCAGATGGCGCCATTTGAAATAAAATCTTTAATTCTATCTTAGCAGCATATTAATATCATAGTATACTTAAATAGTACAACAAAATATGCCTGTTTCAGTAGCAGCAGTCAGCACCAGAGGGTGGGTAAATTCCTGTCCAAAAACTCCAGTGTCCTACCTTGGACCTTCCTGTATAGTTCTGCATTAAATTCAGAAACACAATTAATTTATATAGTACGAGTAGTTCACATAAAAAAAGGAGAATTACTTTAAAGTAATTTTTCAAAGTCAAAAGTGCATACATTGTTTGAATAAATTAATTTTTTTTTTTACTTATCAATAGTTTGTTATTTTTTTAAAATAATATAAGTACCTAACTATATTCATATAACTTTTCTATAAATATAAATAATGTTAAATATGTGTATTATGTTAGATATATTGTATATTATCCGTAAACATAAGCTAGTGATTTAAAAAAAAAAATGTAATAATATTTTTTACAATACAATTATGATTTTCCGCTACAATTTTGTTTCGAAATTCTTTGTTTTTTTTTATCGTATTCAATTAAACAATAATATCAAAATTTTAAATTAGGGCCTTAGAAGTTTAATGCTTAAATCTTGGTTTTTAGATCGGAATCTAAGAACCATAATATTACAAGCCCTCATGACCTTTAATATCCCGGTGCCGTCACTGGACTGTTTGTTATTTCGTATAAATAATAATTATTATCTGATTATTATGTTATGACGAAATACATAAATGTTTTATATTTTTATCCTATGACATCATTTTCAAAGAAAACCACATATAATATAGTGACTACTACTATTGTTCACTGAGTAATCCGCTGGTAAAGAATATGAATTACCTAAACACAATTTTAAACGCAACCATGCAGAACGTGATGAACCCGAGTATCACCGCTGTGGTTACTATAAAATAATTAGGCGAGTAAAGTACAGTGATTTAAGATTATTGTTTTAAAATTATTATAACAATATATTACTTAAAGAACAGTTCACATGCATGACTCACGTGGTGCGTCTTAAACAAATAAAAAAAACGGATGAATTGGGAAGGGGAGTAGGGAATACCGCCAAGTGATACAAAAATGAGACTTTACTTTGATTTATTCTTTACGATGTGTTTAAAAAAATTGTCTAAAATATATATATATATATATGACAAATTGGTCTGCCCTGTAATACAAGATATGTATTTACCTAAAGATGATTTTTAACATTGCCTTGTATTCAAAAAAAAATTATATAATATATTATGTAGCGCCCATGACACTACCGATTTTCCTATAATAACAAAGTTAGATTATTTATTGTAAATTATTCATAATAGTTATATAGTCTTCGTTAAATCATAATAGTCTATCGCTTTTCATTTTAACGTTTCACCATGATATATTCTCAATGTGTACCTACATATTAACAGGTGTAATAAATATAGAAAGGCAGTAAAGATAAACTTGACTACAACATATTATACTTAGATAATATTGCCCTTTTGCAAATAACTTAGCTTAGCGGTACGTATATAAAAAAAAAAAAAAAAATCGTAAACAAAATAATATGTAAGATACATTTATGCACAATAGTATGATAATTTAATGACTGTGTTAACTTTCAATGGACCATATACGCGGTCACGGATTACCAATTACATAGATATTGTATATTTTTAATATTTATAAGCCATAGTATTCAGCGACTCGTTGACTTCGATATTTTGCTGCGGCATCAAACATTTTCAAAAATAAAACATGTTGCACGCAGGTATAATCAATGCAGATTGATTATAAAATATATTATTATAGTATTTATAGTCAATGGTTTATGTTTAAATTAGATGTATCATTTGTTTGTGTTAATTACAATATCTAAAAATAACAAACATAATGCCGATATTAAGTACAATAATAGTATAGTATTCTACAGACAACGAAGCCAATAAACAGAGCTAGATTAAGGAGGGGTAGGCTAAGAGAGCCCCCTAAGGCCATTAGGAAAACCGGCCCTTTAAAAAAAATTAGAACAATTGGTGAGAACATACGTTTAACGTGTCAAACCTAATTGTGTAACTCTAATTATTGTGAAATTACACTACTAAGTATAATGTACGACGTGAAAATGAAACTATTTTCAGTAAGAACAAAGTTAAAGTTGATATTTCTTTGTTATCTAGTTATTACTGACAAGTAGTCACGTACTTGGCAGACAACTAAATGCTCATAAATGGTAATAATGGTAATAATACCTAGATTTTAATTTTGGTCAACTTTAAAACTAATATTGATTCATTAAATAATTATATTAATTTTTAAAATTAAAATCTTGATGAAAACTTAAAAACAGAAATCGATTCCAACATTTGTAAAAAAAACAAGTATAAAATAAAAATCCAATTTTTCAAATTTTGGTTTTGCGTTAAAAATTAAAACAAATTGTAAATTATAATTAAATACATATTATCTAAATTTCTTACGGTAATTTTACCTAAATTATTTACATATAATGTAAATAATGTAGTGTATGTATGTATATAAATATAAAATTATTTTTTAGTAGCCTGTAGCTTCGACATAAAATAAACTACGTTAGGCAAATACAGGCTATTTACCTTAGGCAAATATTCATTGACTGATGTTGTCTAACAAACACACATTACCTCGTCCATCTATTATAGTCTATTATAAGTTATTAAAGACAAACAAATGTGTATGTACTGTTACGTTCATAAGTATTTAAATGGATACTGTTGCATTCTTGTTATTATTTACCATATAAGTACAGTAATAACTAATATTTCAGATGCGATTGATAAACTACAATGGCGTAGTAACAACATATTATATACCGGAAGTGCTTTCACTCGAAATGGTTAATTATTATCAATCTTTGCTCATAAATGATTTCCGCAAAATCAAAATAATATATAATTTTGCCGCTAGCACTACATTCACTCTAGCGGTCTACTAGTCTACAATTATTTTAATTTTACGTACACGTTTACTATTTATATTTGAGTTTTGACTTCAGTAAATACTAAATCAGTTAGGTTTGTTCAACTAAATGCAAAAGTCTATGTAATATAGGTAGCTAGCTAACAAGTAACCTATCATAAGAATAATTCTGATTATTATACGACTCAATGATACATTGGCGTTATTACTATTGAAATAGTCATTAAATAATATACGCCGAGCTTTTATATATTATTTACAATTATATGGTATGTTGGAAATTAGATAAAACTACTATAAATGAGTTAAATTTGAATAACAGTTGTCAGTAATAATTTATTATATCATGAGTCATAACCAATAAATAGCATTTCCACTTAAACTAGGTAATTAATTAGACAAACGAGAGTGTCGAATTTGTGTATGAAATGTATAAAACAGATCCATACTACTTACTGAAGTTTTATTATACTGTATCTAGCCAAGTAAAACTCAGTTGCGGTTTGCGTAATAGTCGCTTAGTAGATACATTCAATTTGTTTATTATCCGTTAGGTGGTGTTTGCGCATTTTTATGATGAAAAAAAGAAAACTTTAAGTAAATGAACAAATAAGCTTCTATCCCAATGTTCTTTCCTACAAACAGCGAATGTATCTGATTTTAATGTCAGACTAAATAATATAATATAGGTAACGCCTTTTGTTGTTGTTGATATATTTTTAAATTTCTATCAAAGTTCTAAATTATTAATTCAACTTAATGTTTGATCAAAAAATTATTTCTAAAAAAACGATAAAACACTGGATGATATCTTCTGTACATTTTCTAACAACACGATGTATAAATCGCACCAAAGTAGTTTTTCTATTCATACACACAATACATTTACAATGATACTTTTCTAGTATTGCCAATAATTATAATGAGTGAAAGATAATTATAAAATTGTTTTAAGTGGTTTGTTTTAATTTTAAAGTAATATTTTACGGATAAATACATACATTTTTTAAATAATAATAATTTAATTTTAACTATATTTGTTCGTACGTCTATTTGTTATACATCACCGAGACTGTAGTGCCGTAGTCAGTTTTTTATTTTTTATTTTTGGGCAGGCACAATTATTAAGGCTTAAGGGCTAAGGAATACATTTTATAAAGGAATTCAATACGCAAGCTAACCTTTGATTAAAAGACCATTTTTTTTGGACATATGTATGTAAAATTAAAAAAGGTAATTTTTAAATTTCTTTAACAAAGGCCTCATGCCAGCTCAAAACTATAATCTATAATTCAAAAGCTTAGTTTATATATAAAAATACATCATATAATATACAACACGACTATACGAGTATATAGATATATTTTAACCCATCGAATTTTAAAACTACTTTCGTTTTGAGCATGTCAGATCATTTTAATGGATATTTAAAAATCACCAAATTATTTATATATATACATATATATATTTATGTGTAGGTATGCGACCAACGGATTAACACTTGTATATTACTTTAGTCAGCTTTCACTGCTTCAAACCTGATAGCAATACACAATATAAAGAACGCCTACAACTAAAAAATAACTCTATCGAAGAACATGAGCTGTGGTAAATTGTTTCAAAATTTCTACTGCACTAGTTTGCAAATTATACATATTATTATATTGTTATCACCTTAAGGTTCAAGGGTATATCGTTGTCGATTTTCAGTCAACCGGGTCAATACTCGTATTTTACAACTAACTGTTAAGAACTCGTCCCTCCTTTTTAATAAAAAAAAAAACCAATTAAGCAAGCCGTGCACAGGAAGAACATATATTTTGTATTTAACAAATAATATACATTACGCTTGAGTTTATAATTATGGTTCAATTCTTAAATTAGTAAAAAGTCTACACATATATATATATATACCTATTACCTATATTATGTACACGCATGTGTGTTGAGATAAATTATACCACATTGATTGTATGGATGAGGTGGATGGCTGATCTTTACTTAGTGGAACAGTTAGTATAAAAGCATACTATAGGGTTAAAAATTAGTAATATTTCTATGTTATGACTGAATTTTTTGGGTGGATGGGTGTAAAATATAATATGTTTCCCCAGATGTTTAAATAGTGTGACGCCACTAGGTCAATGAAGCAACTTCTGGTACAGGCGGTACAGCTCATTAACAGACTATTCTTGGCAAAATTTGGAGCAAATTGAACAGCCAGTTACTGCGATGAGAAAATTAAGGGGGAAACTACTTCATTATTATTCGTTAAATAAAGCCATGAAAGACATGAAGAATGAACATTTATATTCGCTGCACCCTGCGATAAGGTCTAGCTTTTCGGAAAAGAAGAAGACCTACTTAATACTATACACTCTTGTAGGTAATCAATACGGACTTTTTTAGGTCGTAGAGTCCGCTTTGACAGATAATAATAAAATTAAGCTATAATTAAAAATGTAATATATTTTCTACTGCGGTATTGTGGTTGTCCGTTGTTAAAAATAAGTGGATGATGTAAATCGAATAATAGTCAACAAAACAATTTACATAGTTAAAGAAGTCTTGCAACTATACATCCATACTATATGCTCTACATTATACTATATTATGTTCTTCTTCTTCTCCTTCGCCTTCATACTAACTATTTGGCCCGATTTGGGGTCGGCCACTCTTATCCTAAACCTCTACTCGTCATGATCTCCCACATCATCTTCGCATACACCATCATTTAATGATCTATCTTCTATACATATAATTCAGAAACTATTGTTAAAATATTATTCAAAATATTGATAATTATTAAAATATTTCTATGATATTTTAACAATATTTTATAATTATATTTGTAAAAATTTACATTTTTTTTCCAAACAAAACTTATAAAATATTTTTATAATGTTTACAAAAACTTTCTGACATTCTAAAAATATTTTATTTTTCTGTTAAGTGGTTTAAGGAATCTTTTAAAAAGATTTAAATTTTCTAAAGGCAAATAAACAGGTAGATATTTTGTGAAATAGGTACTGTCTGTTGTTAAAATTAGTTGACAAAACTTGAGTCCGACTAAATAAATTGAACAGCATCGGCATACATACTCGGTCGAATTACATTAAAAAATGGGGTCATATTATTATTTCTATTATTATTGTTATACAGATCACGAATTGAGCTTCTATAGTTTGTGGCCGAAATGTTAAAGTGACTATTAAGAGCTCAACATTTGGATGCATGTACATTACATTGCTGACTGTACGATATTATTTTATTGGCATATAGACATGTACAATATGCGGCTGATCGTGCACAGTGGTCCTTTATATTATTCGTTCTAGTTTCTCTGGAATGCTGCACATGTCAAATTGTTACACACCAAAGCCGTATGGAACGCTAAATATGTACGTGCTCTAACCATAAACATATATAGGTGTATATATAAGTGGTTCTACTGAGCACTGTACTGTGTGTATCTCAGGTCGACAAATTGTGTACAGAGGAAAAAAAGGGTCCTCTCGAAAGACATACATCTATTCCCTAACGGCTAACCCCCTTAACGGCGCCTCTGGAGTCCGTTGGATCAATCGTAATCGGCAATCGCTAATGTTTTTTTAGTTATCTCAAAATATTTGCTTTTAGATAAAAATCAAAAAGCGTTCGAATTCGCTCGCGGCCTCCTCGAGTAACTGTTGCCAACTTAACTTGTTAGTCTATCCGCCGCCGTTGGTCACATCGCTACCATTGAACACCTGCGCCGCCACCCTCCGATACCCCGCCGCGCCACCGCTACATTGTATACCAAACACCGATGGGCTTACCTACAGCAGACGTGAGCGGTGAGCAGCAGTGACGCCCCCCTTCCCTTACCCGCCACCGCACCGATAGCCGCCTGGCCACCTGCCCTTCACCGTCGGACCATCCGACCATCTCTCACCGTCGCCTCCCCGCGGCGGCGCGATTCCGTGATTATAATATCATCATATCACCACATCCCGTTTGCTGATGTGATGTGTGTTCAGTGTTGTGTTGTTTTTTTTCCTCGACTCTGTCCGCAGCTCGTTGTAATGTGTTGTTGTTATCGTGGGCGTGCATAAACGACAAGTACGGGTATAGTGGTTTCGATCACTGAAAGGTTTTTCGCTTCGTGTTCATTTGGAATGGGTTTCAATCATTTAACATAGTTGCTCACGTACAACTGCCTTCGCCACAAATCGTTTTCAATATGCGACCAAACCAGTTCGCTTCGGCCTGCACGGCCTAGCCGCTACCAATCTGAAACGGGTAAGCCTTCTTATAAAAACAAAAAACAATTAAGTACACTTATCCCGAAGGCACCACCCCTCCCAAACGAGGGACCCTCTGTAGCCACAAAGAACTTCGGTTTACTCTTTCGGATAAGCTGACTAAAGTCGAGCGGTACCGTCGAAATCACTTGTGACTTATGTATTTTGCACCAACGGGCATTTGAATTATGACGACCACAATTTTATTTTTTACCGCAAATCACACTCATTAGCGATACCTGTACATTATGATTTCTTTGTGTCACATAACATGCAAGGTTACGTTAACAAATTTGTTTTCATTTAAAAGTCAAATTGTATCGATAGAAAAATGAAATGATTCTTAATTATTTGAAACTGGTAACAAAGGTAGACCTGTGCTGATAACATTTTTAGAAACAGTTAACTAATTACCATTTTCTATGCATTAAATGTTTTCTCTCTTACGTTATATTTTTTTGTTGTATCTATATGAATGTATAACATTTATAGTATACAGTTTTAAAGTGACTGTTATCAGCTGCCTGGTTGTTTTGTTTGTTAAAAGTAGGTAAATATATTTTTTTTTGATGAGACAACAATAAAGAGTTGTCACAATTTTGCAAATTTTTCCTTCAACGTGAATTTGTATCATTTTTTTCCTCAGAAATACATTTTTTATTAAATTCCGTGATTTTTTTAACTTTATAAATATGTTACAACAAAAAATTAGTTTCATCTAGGTATATTTTATTAGGTAAACAGTTTAATACACGTGTATTAAACTATAGTTGTTCAAAACTTCTGTTCCTAATTTCTGTTATGATAATTATTTTATTTATCTTTTTACTTAATAAGTCGTCTGAATAATTTCACCAATTTTTTTAGTGTTATTTTCATTTTTTATTTATTTTTTCTAAACTTATGCATACTTTGATTATTTTCCAATATTATAATGTTTTTTATTACCTATTTATCTACATTTTTTTTAATTCTTAGGGTTTAAATGGTCTGATACAATTTTGGTTTCTCTAGGGTTGCCCTACAAGACATGGTATTGCCAAATTGTTTAAGGTATAATAGAATATATTTTAATGTGTATACTATCTTGTATATACTATTCATAACATATTTGTTTTTTTTTTATTTCAGTGAAATAATAACGATGGATAAACGTCAAAAAAATAATTATTCCCCAAACACTAATGAGAAAACAAGCCCAGAAAAAAAGAACGAGAAATCAATGCCAAACATCGGATACGGAAAAATACTAGGAAAATCTGAATCTAGTATTATGTCTAACAAAGGTACAGACTCTAGTACTAAACCTGCTGTTCTGACAGATCAGGATATCAACAACTACATACTGAATTGTGTTTCAAATTTGAAAGTTAGCGATCAGAAATCTCCAACACATTCCAAATTATTTCCATATAAATCATTAGATCTATCTAACAATGTTGATAGATTGCAAACTAATAACTCTATAGATAACATGAATGGAATTCATAGCAACTTGCATTCCAGTATTGACCAAGGAAAATATCCTAGGAATAATATGGGATTAAAACCTTCATTGTCGAGTCCACCGCCATACTCCAATGCGATGGTGAATCGCGATTCACCAAGTCCTCGAGCTAGTATGGGGTCTCTCAATCATGATATTTTATTAAAATCGTCACCTTTATATGAAAACGTTGATTATTACGGTAGCAGTCGTTCGGTCACTCAAACACCTACCTACTATCATCAAAGGCCTAGACCAGGCTCACATTCCAGTGGTGGATCTCAAGATTCCAGACATTCCAGTCCTAGAACTAGTATTGTTTCCTGTGAAGGTTCATCGGCTTTATATGAATCAAATTATCGTAAAGCACAACCACAAGTTCCAGTAAGTTATCCTAAGTATATACCACCAATAGGGAAAGAAGTACCCCCTTATGAAGCGCCACCAGTGTATGAGGCTTTGTCAGATCCCTCTAAGAGCAATGCTGGTTATGAACCGGCTAAGCCCGGTCCTCAAGTACCCTCCCAGTCGATAGACCAAACTGCTCGATATCCTGCTCAACATGCTGTACCTTATATAAAACCAATACCTTCTACAATGTCGCATACGACTAGAGTTGTTCCCGAATTCATGTCTCAGACCAGCCCACGTCATGCAAAACTGAACTCTGTAAATAACATCAGTCATTCCCAAGCTACTGCAACGTACAAACCACCAACTTTGTCGCCACAAATGTGTGTAGTCGGACAACCTGCCCTGGCCGAGTCCAGATCTCAAAGACAACATAATTCAATGGCTAAGATCCTTCAAACAGCATCAGCATACCAGCAAGAATTACCAGTACATCACTCGAATGTGTCGTCTCGTACTTCACCAACACCTCCATTACCCGCTAAAGCAAAGCAGCCAGCCAAAAATCTTTTGCCGTATAATGTTACTCCACCGCGGCCTATGGTAATTAAAACAAATGTATTTCAAATTAGACATTTTATTATTTGATGTAAAATGTATTTTTAAAAGCTCATTTTTTAAATTATTAATACTTGATTGTCAAATAGGGCCCGACAGAAGCAGAAAAAAAAATTGAAGAACTCACTAGACAATTAGAAGAACAAATGGAAACTCAAGAAGTTGCAGTTGGTGGAGAATATTTTGGTAATTTATATTCTATAATTATAAATTATAAAATAAGTATTTAAGTCACAAAATTATAAAGAAAAATAAACTTAACTATAAAAAAAATAATCATTACTTCTTATATATAATATTTAAAAATGATGACTGTAAGTGAAGTATTGAGATACACAATTATTTTTTTTGTACGACAGTTTTTAGGCTTTAAACATTTTGCATTTAAATATTTTTGATCAGTGCAGACACCATAGATAAGTCTCACTATTATGTATTTTATACGTCATAATCATTCACTTATTTCTTAATGAACGCAACTTTAAAGGTTGATTCACACATATCAGTTACGAGACAGTGACGTTTCCGATCAGAGTCAGTCAGGTCATAGACGATTTTGACTAATCAGTCATTGTTGTTTCACACATATCAGTTACGAGACGGCTCAGTTCCGAGAAGTCTGGTCAGCTGCTTTGAGACAGTGAAGAGACACATCAGTAAACGCATTCAAATTGAGCAATATTTAATAAATAAAAATACGCATTAATTAATACGTCGATATGGCTAAGTTCACTGACAAAGAATTAGGTATAATTGCAATCATTTTGGACAAGGAGGAAGAACATAATATTCCATATTTCGTTTTTATAATAAGTGTCTATAAATTTGGAATTTGACAAATCATACAGCACATCATACTGACGAACACATTCGATGAGTTGTTTGTCATTCATTATTAAAATAAATATAAATTATCCAAATTAAATTAAATAAATTTAAAAAAATGTTTGTCTCCGCACAAATTGTCGTCCGTCAAACAAAAAATATTGTTGCCGAGAATACAAAATAGCTCGAGTCTGTGACTGAAGGGATACTGACGGATCGGGTTCGGTTTGATAACTGATGAGTGTAGATAACGTGATATAGATTTAGCAAAAGAATATTTTTCATGACTGAGACTGACCCAATTTGTCGGAACTGAACCGTTTCGTAACTGATATGTGTGAATCAACCTTAAGTATAATTGTCGTAAAGTTAGTTTGAATTGGATCTTTAAAATTGTAACTGTGGTACTTTTGATATTTAATAAAAATTTCGGTTATGGACATTCTTCATTTGTATTGTAGTGAAGAGTTGTTTAGAAGTAAAAATAATATAATCTATATTATATTTATATAATATTATAAATTGACAGTTAGTTGAAAGATAAATGATTGTCTTTAAAATGAGTTTACTTATATACAGTATGGCAAATTATTTAAAATAAAATCTGCCAAAAATCGAATTCATTCTGATTTATGTTGAACTTTTTTAATTTTTCCAGGCATATGCCATACTTGTGGTAATAAAGTTACTGGTGCTGGCCAAGCTTGTCAAGCAATGGGTAATCTATATCATACAAATTGCTTCATATGTTGTGCTTGTGGGCGTGCGCTTCGTGGAAAAGCTTTCTACAATGTTTATGGACGTGTCTATTGCGAAGAAGACTATATGGTATTGAGTTTAACTTTTTAAGTAATTTTTTTAACTAATCAATTAAATATTTGTTTAAATAGTATATAGGATTCCAACAAACTGCTGAAAAATGCTCTATTTGTGGACACCTAATAATGGAAATGATTTTACAAGCGATGGGAAAGTCGTTTCATCCTGGTTGTTTTCGCTGCTGTATATGTAATGGTTGTTTGGACGGAATCCCATTTACAGTGGACATAGACAACAAAATTTACTGTGTCGCTGACTATCATAGGTAAGATATCTATTAAATGCATATTTTTTAACAGTTGAGTAAAAAAAAACATACATATTAATTAGATTAATCAATCATACGACCGATATATTTTTAGGAAATATGCTCCAAAATGTGCTGCTTGTGGCCAGGGCATCACACCAGTTGAGGTAACAAACTTCAACAAAATAATAATTTGACATAACTTTACTAATAAATTGTATTTTAATTTTAGGGTACTGAAGAAACTGTAAGAGTTGTATCAATGGATAAAGATTTCCACGTGGATTGTTTCATTTGTGAGGTAAAAATGAATTAAATTTTGAAACTGTATTGTATAATTTTGTATTGAATAAAATAAACCACTTTCATATATTTTCTTTTTGTCTTACAGGAGTGTGGTATGCAACTAACTGATGAACCCGATAAAAGGTGTTACCCGTTGGATTCTCATTTGTTGTGTAGATCTTGTCACATTTCCCTATTGAAGGAAAATCCTCCAGAATTAGAGGTATTATAACAATAAAAAAAACATTTATAAAACATAACATTCGATTTAATACATATTGATTTATTTCAGAGTGTATCAGCTACGTACGAGTATTTAGATTGAGAAGACTCAAAACTTATATGCCAGTTAGATCTACCAGTTTCATTAGACCTAAGTTTGTACATCGTATACACTAATTATGTATGCATTTTGTTATTATTTTTTTTTCTATTTATAATTCTATGGTAATGTGGATGAGCTGTATTTAAGAAGGTTGGTATTTTAATATACCAACATAAGTTTGTTGCCGGTATCGACAATTAAAAATACTAATTAAATTAACAAACATTAGAAAAAATTCATTGTTAGCATTACAAAAAGTAATCCAGTGAATTTATAGCACAGTCTATGTATATTGTATACATTTCTATAATATTTATTATTTTAATTTTTAATAATATCAGCTAAATCCTATAAAATGCGATATTTCTGTTGTTCAATTTTTTTTGTCATAACTAGTACTCCTTTACAATAGAGTTTTTATATCACAACTGTGTAACATTTAACAGTTCATTTTTTTTAGCACTTCTTTTCATTATAATACAAAATATTAGTAGGTAACTTATAGCATTTATATGTGAACCCTAGTCGCAATTATATTTATATTATTTAAAAATTATGTGTCTAATACTCGAAAGTATACCAGTGTTGTTTAAGTTTTAAAATAAACCATCATATATATAAATATATATAGTGTCATAACTCGAAAAGAAAATGTGAAAACTGATTTAACTAAGTAAAAAAAGAACTGTACATATTTTCTGTAGCTCACTCAATTTTTTTTTTTTATATATATATATATATATAACGTATGTACAACACAAATGCACTCATTATATAATATATATTTAAAGATCGTACAATTTTAAAGAAATAAATTTAATTACTTGTGTTGATTATAAAAACTGTGGTATTGTTAAATTAAATTATAAAAAGTATACATTAACAATTGTATAATTTCAAATAACATGATACAAAATTTGTACTTTTATACATTGACACTTGTACTAATAATTTATTTATTAGTCAACTAATTTTAATTTAATTTAAATAACAATAGATTTAATATATCAAACCAATGAATCAGTTGCAGCAAAAACACTTATTTTTCTATGACAATAGTTTTATAATTCGAATTGCATAGCTTAATTTTATTTTTTTTTGCAAGTTAATTATTTGTAATTAATGTATACAATAATTAAAATACAAAATTATTATAGAAATATCTATTTGATATCACGGGTAATTATAAAATAAGCCGTACTTAAATATTAGCATGTATTAAGCATTCTCAAGACACACTGTAATCACTTTAATCTCTTTGACTACTTTCATCAAGAATCAGTATTTTATACTTTAGTATGTATCCATAATGTTTATTTCATTTAGGTACTGATACCACGTTCCATTTTTGTAATTTTGTCATGTTTGTTAACTGTATGCTTTATTCCTGGACATAACATATTACCGTCGTAGGTCTTATCATATTATTGTAATATTTTTCAGGTTGTGATAATTGTTATGTAGATGTATACTTATAACTTATAAGTTATAATAATACTATAATGATTTGTATTATACGAAAACGCTATTAATGATGATTACCAAATTATTTTTTCTTAGATTGTAATCATTTTTACACTGTTAATTTGGGTATTGAATGTTTGTATACTATTTTGTTAAATTATTATTTATGATATTAATAACTTCGATAACAATTTAATGTATGCATAAATTATATAGATTTAAAAAAATAAAATAATTTAGTTTTGTGTTTTTATTAGCTAAGTACAAATTAGGTAATTAAAAAAAAATAGTGTATTTTTTAACTCTTAAATAATGTTTATTGTGATAAATTACACAATTCAAAATACTTGTTTTTTAATTGGGTAACTACTATATAACTGTATTCATTGTATTTTTATTAAAATTGCAAAGGGTGTAATAAAAACTTGTGCTAATCGAACAGAGAAAACATGTCGTATAACTAATGAATTGAAACGCATATTCGAAAAAAGGTTCCATCTATTCGTTTTTGAAAAAAAAGTTATTTTGTGTATTTTTATTTATGAAAAATTCTGCGTTCTGGTTAGGAAACATAATTATAATTGTTGTGTAGTGGCAGAAGGGCTCATATGTCATATTAATAAAATATTGGTTTTAACGGTTTGAAACCACCCACAAACATGTTCCATATTAAAACAATGTATATACCACTGTTAACCGTTGTTAGCAATAAACAATAACCATGTGCTATTAACTTAATAACTACAAAAAACGTTTGTTTAAAAAGTTTTGATTAGACGATTAGGGGCCGAAAACTTTCAAAAACTGTCCACTTCTAAACAAATGTAACATCGATGGTCTAGCGCACAGACGTGTTAAGAAGTGGCATTTAGCAAATTGTTCTGTAGAAGCATTTGAAAGTTGACATTTATGTGGATAAAATATTAAACAATTTACTTACACTTGGGCATCATATGTAAAAAAATATTGGTATCCGAATAAAAATAATTAATACAACTTTATTCAAATAATTTTTTTACAGTTTATTTTAAAAACACAATTCAATATATTTTCAAAAATAATTAATATTAAAATAAAAAATTATTCAAATAACTTTTTTACAATTTATTCACATACGTAAAAAAATAACAAATACTACTCTAGCATTATTTTAGTATTTGTTTTTTTATTTATTTGTATATGTAATATATTTTTACAAAATCTGGTTAAAAAACTAGTTCAAAAGTGAAAACCGCACTTAAATAATTTATTATGTAGCATTTTAATTTAATCTTTTCTTTTTTATACAAATTGTTGTAAAACTGTTTTTAGACATTTGGATTTTCTAAATTGCTGTTAATATACCTATTGGGAAGTAATAATCAAAAGCATAGATGTTGTTTAATAGATTATTTGAAATTAGGTATTAAGTTCAGAAAAAAAGTATGCATTGAAAAAATTAATTTTGTTATAAAAAAAAAAATTATTTTTCTCTATGTTTCCTCGTTTCGCGGACCTAATAACTGTAAACCCCTTTTTTCTGTTAATTCGATCTTTAAATAAATGTTGGGTTTGCCACAGCATTTTCATTACAAAATTATGTGGAAGCTTCTTTAAAAGAAAATTATACCAATTTTCTCATTAATAATGTAGCCCTGGGCCCCTTATTTTGTATGATTATTTTAAAATAAATTCAAAGGTATAAATTATTTTTATTTTCACCTCATCCCCTTCAAAATAAAAAAAAAACCATACTAATTGATTTATTTTCGGCATTCGCATTATTCATTCTAAACATATAAAAACGCTAAGTACAACTAACGAAAAATATTCAAAATACTTCTTAATTGTTTTTGAGTTATTTTTTAAGTACAACTTCGACAAAATCATAAAAATATCCTTCACTCTTTCCTTACAATGGATTGTAATTTTTAACTCATTTTAGTAGTTAATTTGTTTGGGGATTGTTACTAATTTTATTACTTATGTCTGAAAATATAACTGCTATCTGCTTGCCATGTATGTTAACCTGTAAATTATAAAAAAATATGCAGAATACAAAACATTTTTTTTATTGAGGAAAATCCTAAAATAACATTTTTATTTTATTTTATTTTGATCTACATACTTTCGCATTGAAGCAATTTTTTAACAGTGATTTTATTTATCACTATCGCACAAACGGCAAACCCATTGTGCTGGGTTTTTAATTTTTAAGACTATCTGCGAGTTATTATATAATAAGATACCGTTTTCAAGTGTCGCTAAGTTAATTAAATATTATTATTTTTTTAATTGGTTTTTGGCACACCAATTTCGTCCGTGTGCAGCCGCGTGCATCCATTTCGCGTTATATCGGGTTCATGAACCTACTTGGGTTGCTTAGGTTATCTGCTTAGTGTAGGCATTACATTGGCAATAGATTGGTACTTGGTAGTCAAACCCTTATCGTTAACCGGTATAATTGTTGATTTTTTTATTTATTTATTTCCATTGGACAACGTTGGTTAAGTCTCAGTCGTCTTCAGAGTCTCTCCTCGAGCTTCTTTGTTTACGAAGCGTTTTTGTCTTATGATTTTTTTTTTAAAGTTTTTTTTTTGGATTTTTTTAGTTTAACTTGTGGCATGACTATTCTACTTAGGGCCTCGGGGCCCTCACGTATAATCGAGGGATTCGGAAACCTGTTGAAAGCGATCGTCAGCCGTTCGGAAAGGGCTACCGGAAGATCCAAATTCCGTCTGGAGTATACTTTTGCCCCTACAATTCGTTAGACTTATTAGACCGTTTCCCCTGGTTTTATCTCTAACCAAAAACCGTTGAACGGTATCCACGAAAGTAGTATCTTCAAAATTATTACACAAACGGTAGGAGACAAGAACCGTGGGAACACAAAATATCAGCCGAATCGCCCGATTTGTATAATTAGGCTATTGGAAAACCATCCGAAAACTGGATTCGATAAAATTCACTTACACGCTCATTGTAAGTATATTTGATGATTATACTTTAAGATTGCAGATTACTTTATAGTTAAACACGTTAATGATTATAATACCAAAACAATGTATATTGTTATATTATGAAAAATAAATCGGAAATACAAAAAAAAAGTATTTTCTAAACAATTTGTTTGATACTCTAAAAACGGTTTGAAATTTTTCAATTCAAATACTTTACAGTTTTGAACACATGTTAAGTTTTACATTATTTGTTGAAACAATACAACATTGGTTACATGTATTTATAAAAAAAATGTTTGCCAAAAACATATTTTTATATAACAGCGGTTAAGGTCTGTTTTTAATGGGTTTTGTATAGGCAATATTTAAGTAAAAGAGGTTTAAATAAATTTCGACCATGTCAATTAATTTACCGGTAAATTTGTATAAGCTTGAAGGTCTTATTTTTTACTTAAATATTTTTTTTATGGGTAAAAACCAATTTTGGTTTATTTTAGACCAACATTTTTTAGTATAAAAAACTTTTTTCCAAAAATCTGATTCCTACATAACCTAGTAAAGTTGCTAAAGAACTCGTATATAATTACAGAATTGAAATTGGACCATCTTAAGTAAGTAGTTGATAATTTAACGTTTCAGACCAAAAAGTCTAAAACGTCAAAAAACCCTACCGCTTGGAATACCCTCACCTTATATTTATTATTACCTGCATTATAGGATTTTTACAATTGTTAATTTATAATTACTTAAGACGTTTAGCAAAGAAATTTTAATTAAAAAATAATATTTCGATTAATTTTTAAAACCGATAAAAAACGTATCATAAAGTAAATTTATCTAAACATTTAATTATTGTAACTTATACACTAGTTGAAAACTATTCAGAAAAAATATAAGTCTGAAATTATTTTTTTTTTTCAATTTTGATTTAAAAAGAATATCTTATTAGAAATTACAAATTTTATTTTAGGGGTTTAAAAAATATATTACCTGTTTTCACAGGAAATTTAACACTAATCATAATCAAAATTTACCAATACATATGATTTTAATTATAATTGTTTGATTAAACATACCTAGTTTCACACGTATAATTACTTACAATTACTTATAATTAGTTACGTACAAGTACAATAACTATACTAATAGTTATTGTTCGCTTTGATCAAGAGATAAAAAATATCATATAAATTTGAAAACCATTAAAAGTAAGCAGTTAGAAAAATCCAAAATAATTTAATAACCTTACTCTAGTGCATTTGGGTTTTTTTTTTTAATTATGCGGGTTTTGTTCAACTATTGATTTTAAGTGGATTTATTATCACTAAACATTTCCAAACTTATATCAAATTAAAAAGACATTATATTTGTTTCTTCGAGATTTATAAATTCTAAGTTTTCTTGAAACTTCAAGGTAATTTTTGGAAGGAACCGGTTACGGTAAAAAAACTTGAGAAATTCG